GACAAACATAAAAGAGTCTAGTGACATTTCAATGAACAAGTGTCACAAAATTACAACAAAAACATACTTTAGTGGCGTTACACTAGTGGCATATTTTTAGAAAATGCCACAAAAATGATATTTAGTGGCACGTTTTTTAAAAATGCCACAAAACGACAAACATAAAAGGCTCTAGTGACATTTCAATGAACAAGTGTCACAACACTACAACAAAAACATATTTTAGTGACACCGTACTAGTGGCATGTTCTTAAAAAATGTCACAAAAAGAATATTTGGTGGCATTTTTTAGAAAAATGTCATAGAGCCACAAACATACAAGGCTCTAGTGGCATTTCAATTAAAAAAAGTATCACTTCACTACAACAAAAATGTCACTACAACAAATTTACACTTTAGTGACACTACACTAGTAGCATGTTTTTAGAAAATGCCACAAAAATAAAAATTGGCATTAAATGTTTTAGAAAAAGCCATAGAACCACAAACATATAAGGCTCTAGTGGCATTTCAATAAAGAATTGTCACATCAATTTTATGACATTTTATAAAATAATGACACAAAAAATTATGTTCGTGACATTTACCAACATATGCCACTAAACTTTAGTTGCAATGGCATTTTTTAAAAAATGTCAGGACACTGCAAATTACTTTTTATGGCACTTAGGTGAAAAGTGTCATAAACAAATATTTTATAGTATTTTGAGAAATGCCACTAAGCCAAAAAATTTCCAAGCTTATACTGACATTTTTGAAAAAACAAAAAATGCCAATATATTTTCTAAATTTTTAAAATGCAATAAATGATTAAAAATAAATGAATTAAGCTTAATACACACTACAGGAAAAAGCATATTCGGCGACTAAATTTCCTGACCAAAAAAATTTGGTCGCTGAAAGCTCGGCGACTAAATTTCCTGACCAAAAAAATTTGATCGCTGAAAGTATAGCTTTCAGCGACCAAAACAGCATTAGTTGCTAAAAGTAAAGCTTTTTGGCGACTAAACAATTTTAGTAGCCAAAAGTCTACAATTGGCGATTAAAACTAAGTTTGGTCTCTGATTATATGGGTTTTAGTGACTGAAAAATTTTTAGTAGCCCAAAGTAAAGCTTTTTGACGACTAAAAAAATTTAGTAGCCAAAAGTCTACAATTGGCGACTAAAAAATAAGTTTAGTCGCCAAAAGTGATCATTTTTAGCGCGGGAGAACTAAAATCCTAAGGCGGGAATAAAATTTTTTGGTGACCAAAATTTTGGTAGCTGAAAGTGCATCTTCGGCGACCAAATCCGATTTTGGTCGACAAAAGTTAAGTTTTTTAGCAACTAAAAAACAATTAGTAGCCAAAAGTATAGAATTGGCGACTAAAAAATATTTTTAGTCGCCAAAAGTGGTCTTTTTTTTATTTTGGTAGTAAATAGTTTATTTTACATAAATTATGTTCAATAAAATAATTATGTTTATACATATACTTTTATATTAATATGGATGTATGTACTATATAAATAATATATGTTGTATATATAATCATGTGGTGGTATAGAGGTGTAGTGGGAAGAGTATGGTGTATAAGGTTTATGGTGCGGAAGGTTGGCGGTTCGAGTTTCCGCAAGAGCGGATCAAATTGTTCTATAATGAATTATTGTCATGAATGACACTTGATAGCGTCACGAATAGTGCCTACCATGACATTAAAATGTCATTGAAAGTTTTCAGCCATGATAGTGCAGTGGCACTTGCAAGTATCTACCGTGGCACTCGTATCTAGGGATGGCAATTTGAAACCGAACCGACGGAGATCCCCGACCCCGACCCCGATTTAAGCGGTTTTTCCCTTAAAAATACCCCCAACGGGGAGGGGACGGTATTTGAAAATCAATCCCCGATTTGTTTCGGGCCGGGGACAGTGATCAGTGTTCAAGCCCCGGTCCGGCCCCGTCCTCGACCCCATCCCTGAATTTCCCTAAAATTAAATTACTTTTATACCCCTTATATATATATATATAATAAATCAAACCCTAAACCCGTGCGTCACTCTCTCACTCTCACTCTCACTCTCGTCCTTCTCTCTCTCTCTCTCTCAACTCTCTCCCTCTCACAGCAGTTGCCTCTCGTTCTTCTATGTCTCTCACAGCACAGCCACCGTCGATCTCACCCTCAACTCTCACTCTCACCGACACTCCTCCCTCACCGCTGTTTTGCTCTCTCACCGCCGATCGTCCCACTCTCTCTCACACATACGACAGAGATGTGCTTCCTCACCGCCGATCGTCCCAGATCTGGAAGATGGAGATGATGAAGATGAAGATGTTGATCTGTGCTCCCCGCCGCCGATCGAAACAGATTTGAAGATGGATAGATCTGGTTCAGATTCATATGTTTATGTTTATGTATATATATTTTTAAAGATTCATATATACAGGTTCAGATTTTTTAATTTTTTTTTTTAAGTTGATGATGGTTGATGATGATTGATGATGATAGACTGGCAGTGAGAGGTTCGGTGTATATATAGATTCATATATGTTTATGTTTATGTATATATATATATTTTTAAGTTGATGATTGAAATTCATATATATATATATATATATATGTTTATGTATATACAGATTGTTGTTTTTGTGTTTAAAAAAAAAAACGAACAGGTCGGGGATTTTCGGGGTCGGGAAAACCCGATCCCCAATCGGGGGCGGGGGTGGGGGGGCCGATAGGGTCCCCGTCGGGGATCGAGGCCGGGGGGAGGGGGAATTTCTCACTATCGGGGATCGGGGACGGGGAGGGTGGTCCCCGGCCCCACCCCGCCCCGTTGCCATTCCTACTTGTATCTACCGTGGCACCGATAAAAGTAGCACTTGTTCAAAATACCACAAGACCAAAAAATGTCATTAGAAGAATAGTTTTGTACAACTTTCAAATGTCACTAAACTAAGGAAATATTGTAGTGTCCATTATATGTTGGAAGTTACCAAACTCTTGCCATTTAATTTTAAATCTGGTAGATAAGAACATCTATTGTTCATAACTCAAAGATAATGCTTAAAAACAGAAAATAATAAATCACTGTGGTGGTTGTGGGAACAAAACTTAATCTCTTGGCCCTCCCCATCTCCTCAAGTATCACTTCCTATTCAATTTTTTATTTTTTGGATTAATTTTCCAACAATGACATTTTGCATTGAGTTCTTTCTTCATGAAGTTCAGTTAAGTGATTATGAACAGACAAGATGTTCTTTTGAATCTTTTTGCATTTGAGAGAACAAAAAAGTGATTCATTTTCTTTCATATAAGGCTATGTTTGGATGCAAAGCTCATTATTACAAATCCTATTACTAATATTAAAATTCTTGTGTTAATGCAATTTAAGGATTTGGCTTACTTACGAATTCTACATAAGAATGTGATAAAATTTTATGAATCTAGTTAACAAGTGCCACTTAACTTGCCCCGTTGCAAATAACAAATAATTCTAACAAAAATATCAAAAAAATAGAAGTTACAATAATATTTACTACTAAACCTCTTCTTATCTAAAAAAAGAAAATTCTTCTAAATGAGATTTTTGGCAATCCATTATAGACCAATTTCTATTGCCATTTTATCAAGGCATAACTACAACTTTCTTTGTTCAACCATTTACTAATTCCCCCAATTCATTCCATTCTTCCCGAGTTCTATCTTTTCCTGTCTCTCCAATTATATTCAAGATTGTATTATTGAGGGTTTGGCAAATGTTTATTAGTAACTTTTTTGTTAATTTTTTTATTTCGTGAACTTTTTAAAAATTTGTCAAAATTTTTAAATTTTAAATCCTACTAGACTAAACTACCCTAAAAATAATAAAAAATGACTAAATTTGAATAAGGTCAAACAAGACAAATATTCAATTTTCTTCTTAAATTGTCATTTTGGTCCTTAGTTTTTTAGGCCGTCTAATCTAAAAGCCCCCCACCCCCCCCAAAAAAGAAAAAAAAAAAAAAACTGGTGCCAAACAGCTGCGTAATGGGGGCCAACATTTGAAATTTCACTATTTAGGTCCAACTAAAGTCACTTCCTCCTTGTTGAGTCATATCTACCTTTCTTTTCTCACCGAAATCACATGGATTCGAGACTCGTACGACCTCAATGCCTTCATCTCGAATAACATTGGAGGACCTACCTCTTTCTTCAGTCACCTCCAAGCTTAACTAACTCACTTCTGTTTTCACTCCAAAGCTATATTGAAAATTATTGGAGGCATTATGGAATCTGCTTTTTATATGCATTCCACATAGTTTGCAACTATCTTTATCCCTTCTTAAACCTCCTAGTTCTAAGGATTTCCATCTTCAGTGCATTTTCATGTCTGAATAACCTTTCTTCATCCTGTGGCAAGACTGCTTCTCCTAGATACTCTGCTCTTCAGCTCAAGGTCTTAATGGGGAAAACTACGATCCAAGATCAATTGTTGTCCTCCCTATTATATATGTGTACTAATACAAGTGGACCTAAGCACCAACTCCACAAACTAACAAGGTGCTCCCAGAACAATAGGTGGGAGATAAATGGAGCCAACCTAAGCCACAAGGTGCAACTTCATTGGAAGAGAGCACCACTTGTAGATGCCACGATGGTACTCTTGGAATACTGAATAGTTTTTCATTATGCATATATATATATATATATATATTTTTTTTTTCCTGGTTACAAGAGGGAAAACAAAATGAGAGCAGCACTACCGCCTCCAGTGACTCATGATGAATCAGCCCAAATCAACTGCATCAAATCCTGGGGAAGGTTCAAAGGGATTTCTAACTCAACTCCTCAAACGGCTGAAGTTAGCCCTAAATGTGGATTTTGAGCTTAACTATTATTTTACATTGTAAAAGTTGAGAATTACTACAGAACTAAGTGTAAAGGCATAGAATACATAAAAGCATACACAGATTGTTACATAATCAATTACCTTTTAACCTCATAGTATATGATGCAAAGTAATCATTACATATTACATCAGAAATAATGAGAATGGCCATAATATAAGGATAGTAAATACCAGACTCTAGTTTGTAAAATTGAATATTCTAGGTATTCTTCATTCAGCTAGAACAACAGATGAAAATACATTTTTTGAATGCATAAATAAGGCTAGATGGTGTTAACAAATCTGAGTTAACAATCAATAATGATAGTAACAATTATATTGTTTGGAAAGAATGACAAAGTTCTCAAGTAAGATGAGGTTGAACCTGCACTATAGCACCGGCATGTTGCAGCGACTGCCATTCAATTTCCTCTCTAATTTCTGATCAGAAGAAAACAGGCCAGGCCCTTTATTATTTCCTCAGAGAACATTCTGCCGAGAAAGAATGTCTGTCCAAGTTACATGCCCATCAACCCAAAAATTCAGCAAGAGAAGCTTCTGAGCATTAGTGAACCTCAAAGAAAAGAATGACCATTTATGGTATCTTCATCAATGATACATCAATAATTAAAAACGAATGTCTTTTTGGCAGAGTATAACTAAACTTTCCATATTTTTGTTTTCATGTTTTTGATATCTATGCCTTGTTTCAAAGGTAAATCTAATGGAACAACCTAATAATCCTTTGATCAAACCAAGGTCCACTATGTTTCTAAGGTACACACTAATTTATGGCATGTTCACCAATGGTTACCGATCTTCAACAAATGCTTGGATAGAACTCAGATGACATCTTGAAGGATGTGAGGTCTTCAATGACCTGCACAGACGTTGCTTGCGTGTTGGCTTCTTTCAACTCAGCATTGCATCCCCATACTCGAACTGCAAGCCTTCGACACTTTGGAGATGATTGTCTCAAATAAGTACTGTACCAGTCAATAACATCTTTCTTCTGGATGCTGCTTATTTCCTCTGCTTCCTTTGCAGAAAAGTCAAACATATACCTGAAAATTTGACCATGTATTTTAAAAGTAAGATACATAAAAAGAGATGCTAAGCGTATGCAAAACAGGTTAAGCTATGATAACCATCACTGCTCAAACGGAAGAAACCTTACCCATAAAATATTATGCTAAGAGAACAAAAAAAAAAAAATCTAAAAATTGATCAGATTATGAAAAATCTTCCCTGAATTCAGACCATGCAGTTATAGCCAAAAAGTAACACCTAAGTTTATACAAAGAAACTCTTGGAAAACACATTTTATCATTTGATGATCATGCTTCTGTCCAACTGCATTCCACCAATTAGACAACAATTCTAAACGATTAGATCTTTACCTAGAAAATCTCATCTTTTACATTTATTAGGACCAAAATGCAATGGATAATAAATATGGTGCTGGCAAACAATACTTTCTTCGCATGCATGATCAGCCTACAAATGAGCTGATCAGTCACCCATAATATCTTTGAAATTACGCCAAAAAGCAAAAATAAAAATCTAAATGGTAAGGAAAGATTCATTCAAACTGGATGCTGTGATACAACCAGATTACAAACATAGAAAATCTCAAAGATCTCATGTCAGGACATAAAAAACAACCAAGGTGCAACTGAAAAAAAGAACAAAGAATATTGATAGTACCTTTTATCTATAATTTGACTCCAAAACCGATTCGTTTCATGTTGGAGAGATGGATCCTTCTCCAGCAGCTTTGCAATTAACCCACTTTTGTAATTCTCAAAGGATTCATCATCGAGTTCATCCTGCAGTGCCAATGAAGTTTCAACACAGAAATGCTTGTGCAGAAAAAAATAACCATATAGAAAGCAGTCATCTGAAAAGAAAAGGACTAAAACAATCATATTATTTCCCGTGCCTGTAGCAGTCTCTACAAGTATCCTAAGGGTGAGAACAGAACAAGATAAATAAGAGACACTGTTTTGGTTATAGCTAATTAGAAGGATTGTCCAGAGAATTACTGTAGAATGTACACAATTAACTGTGCTTGGGCTACCATCAAATGGGTGAACAAGAAATCCCACCAAAATGGCCCTATTTATGTAATGTGACTTATATTTTATGGTTATTCTTTTAATGCCCAACGCATCTATAGTTCATTGATCTGACAAAAGAGACGTCAGGATCAACCAATCAACTTAATATTCCATATGGAACATTTATCAGTATGTTAAATATGTGAATTCCAGGATGCATGTCACCTGAGCATACATTTGCCGTTGTAGAGATTGCTTGAAGTTAATTGTAGTTCAATTGCAAACTTTCTTATTAGAGAGATGAAATACACAGTTCAAGAACAACAAAACAGTGCAACCCATTAAATGCTCACAAAAAAATTAGCAAGCCTTCTAGAACCAAACTCTATCAGATTAAAACAAGAAAAGGAAAAAAGAGAGAAGGAGAAGACAGACAGAAAGAAAATGGTTACTTACCAACAACTCCTTCAGGCCATTTATGAAATCATCAACTCTCCCTTGCAAATAGACAGGGTTGTACTCCGACGATTGAACACGGAAACAAAACCCTAAAATGCGGTACGTTACCCGTGGGCTACATTCAACAACATAACCAAGCTGCTCTTTTGTCCTATAGTAAAACAAAAAATAAAACATCTTGAAAGTGAGTCAAATGACGGATACCTTAATTTAACCCTCAATATATGTATATATTATATTGAAAACGAGTCAAATGACAGATGACTTAATTAACCCTTTCATTTCAAGACAGTATTGCACCAATATGCTTAACAATGTGACTAGAGAGACATTTTCTAGTTGTTTTCTGGACAGCAAACATTCGAGGCAAGGGTTAAATAAACAAAACCATCCCTCTCCCCGCAACAAAAAGAAGGAACAAAATAAAGACCTAATCCTAGTATGGAAATATTCTGAAAATTTTCAGTGTAGTTGTACCTAAGCTGATTGAAAAGCGGTTCATCCACAATTTCATCAAAAAGATCTGCCAGGGCTTTAAATTTAGTTATTTCCAGCCCAACTTCTGGTTCAATCTGAAAATAAAGCTGCAAGGGAGATGAAAAAACCAAACAATTACGCCGCAATAAATAGTAGGAAAATTAGAGCTTGAATAGGAATCAAATAGATTAACATAAAAAATTAAGTCCATTAATCTATTACCTCAACCACAGAGTTTGTTTCTAGTTTATTCTTCACTTGGACATCTCTAACAAGGTCAGCACCAGAAGGAAGACACATTACATACTCTTTATGCCTCATCTCAAATGGGAGTGGTTGAACAGAGAAGTTGCTTCGAAATATATTAGATATGTTAATTGCTTCTTCTTCCAGCAAATTGCCATGACTAAGGCCCTCAATATATACCTGTGAAAGGGCAGTTAAAAGTGAAAAATATAGCTACTCGACCAATCATACAGAATTCCATAACATGAAAAACAACTAAAAACAAAACCCTAAGTATCATAACTAGGTTCACTTACAATGTCTGGTTATAGCTTGCTCATAGCATCATCCAATACATATTCATGCTATAGGAAAAAACAGATTGAGGAATTTTACTAGTTCATGCCACCATAGTTCCTCCCTAGAGTTTTTCCAATACTGAACTTCTCTTTCAAAGCTCACAGAATTGCAATACATAGTTCTGAACATATATGACAATACATAGTTTTCTAGCTTGATGTTGCATCACAGTTCATCCATTGCACCACAGTGAAACAGTTCACAGGTACTGAGCAAAGAACCGTGCCATTATGGTTGGAAGTCAACATCAAATGAGGGCCATTAGAGGATGTGTGGCATTCAAATAATCTACATGCTAATCGTAGGGAGCAGCTCAATGATGCTTTATATGGAGTGTGTAGAGCAAGTTGGTTAGTCGTATGGTCTGAAGGGTGCTTTACACAGAGAGTATAGAGCAAGGTGGTTAGCAGTATGGTGTTTGTTTGTATGCTATAAGCTTACCACTTTTAATTAAAACCACCTCAATTCAAGTGTATTTCAATGCAGAGAACTACTAGGTAGGGGAAAATAGATTAAGAATAAAGACAGGAGGACAGAAAAAGTGTAGTCCTCAAGTTGTCAGCAAAGAGTTATGTATTGTGAATATTTATCGCATTTCCAACTATCAAGTCACTCACACACCTGTGAAAGAAGTTCAGGAATAAGAGCCTTCAAATCAGCGAGAGACAAATCATTTAGCAAGCATAGTTTCTCATCTACATCCCAGAAACTCTGGCAGAGTACTTGCAGTCTCAAATATGATGAATGATTAAGAGGCTTCATGTTGGTGTTTCTTAAAGTTCTCTCCATATCCTCTTTAATAACCTGTCAAAATCACAGCCATTGTGCCATAGAAAAACCAAAAATCAGTGACTCACTGATGGGATTTAACTCCAGATATATGTAAAATCAGATTCATAGGTTACACATCATTGTCTAAATAGACAAGTACAATACAGTTACAAATATCACAATACTTAATCATTCTATACAATGATAAGCATATCAAACTCCAGGTTGCACTTTCCAACTGCATGGCTTACTAAATGAGCTGTAGCCTTCAATATTTAACCATTACAGCAAATTATGAAACTGCACATCAAAATAGCATACGCATGGTTTCCAATTTTTCATGAACTCGAATATTACAATAAGACAGCTTATAATGTGATCACTTATTGACAGTGGAGAATATAAACTTCAAATCAATATGGTAAAACGCATAATAAAGAGGTAGAAGATGCAAATGCTGCAGACATACCTTGAAGCGATTTTCAGTTGGTGAAAAAGATTTGGCGATTGCCAAAACTTTAGATAAAAGAACTGGAAGCTTATCATTGAAACCATAGACCTTTAACTCCAGCTTGTCGCTAAAAAGAGATACAGAAGTCTCTAACTTCGCTACACTGGCCTGCACAAAAAAAGCAAAAAAAAAAGAAAAAAAAAGAACAACGGTTATTAGTGAAGCACCAAACATGTCAAGTGCAGCCATTTACAGATTGGAAATGTACATAATTCCAGAAGTAGCATTACATAACCAAAGAACTAATAAATAGTACACTAGTTCTGTGAATGGTATGATAGAATGAAGCATAATCATATTTTATTGGTAAATATATTACAATAAATGTGTCTTTTAATCCTTTGACACAAAAAACAGAAGAAAGAATAAACCATTTTTCGAATATGCAGAATGTTCAATCTATTAATTCAGTTGTAAATAAAGATAACTAATTCAATCAAGTAGACTAATTTTTCTGGTCAGGGCTATGGCCTATGAGAACCCATTATGGGTGACCAAGTCTCTATACAAAAAAATGAAGTCTTCTGCAAATAAGTTCAAAAATGAATAAAAATTTACTGTTTCCTACCAACCAAATATGCATTAGATTAGATCAAACAAAATTGTTGCTCTCACTGAAGTTACAAAATCATTTGCATAGATGGAGAAGTAACAAACCTGATATATAATCTCATTCAGCTCATCTTTTAGAAGATGAATAAATAATTCAGTCAACACAGAATTCTTCACATTATTGTATCCTCCTTTTAATGTAATGCGGAAATATGTATTTGCACGAGGAAGTTTGAAAGTCCTATCAAGCTTGTACCATAACTTCATTAATGGTTCATCAAGTATACATCTTGGAGAAAATGTATCTACACTGGACGCCTTATTAGCACAAATGGAAAAATCACATGGAATGAACTCATTCTTTGCAGGAAGATGCAAGGATATGTCAATTTCTGACGGTTCGTACCACAGTTCCATCAGTGATGGAGAAATATCTTCCTCTGTATATCTTGATTTGAACCATGGCTCACATTGAATATCTGAAACAGTAAGAAAACAAGGGAGAAAATTTTGAAGTAGTTCAATCAAAGACATGCATAAAAAACCCCAAGGGTTAGCCAGGTGGCAAGTTGAGTGATAAGTGCCTTAGGAAATGTAAGTCACGAGTAGGGATGGCAATGGGGGTTAATGGGGTGGATATTAATCCCCCATCCCCATTCCCCTATAATAAATTTTTTCCATTCCCCATTCCCCATGGGTACCACTCTCCCCATTTCTTAATGGGTTTGGATTTTCCCCAACCCACTTTAATCCCCATTTTTATTTTATTTTTATTTTTTATATTTAATGTTAACAACCACTTTAAGGTTCACAACAAAAGCTAAATATACCTTCAATCTTTTTTCTTTCTTTTTTAATATATTTAATGTTAACAACTTTTTTTTTTCTTTCTTTTTAAGGTTTTAGCTAAATATACCTTCAATCTTTTTTCTTTTTTTTTTTAATATATTTAATGTTAACAACTTATTTTTTTATTTTTTTTTAAGATTGACAACAAAAGCTAAATAATTTATTAATGTGTTTATTTTTTTTAAAATTCAAGTATCAAAAAAGGTCAAAATACGCATGACGCCTACTAATGTAGTCTCTCTCTCTCTCTCATATTCTTCCACCTCTACCGGCCTCGTTCCACTCATGTTCTCTCTTTCTAATTTTTTATTTTTTATTTAAAAACTAAATTATTGATAAAAGAAAAAAAAAAATTGACTGAAACAATTTTAAGATCTCACTTTTTTCTTTCTTTTTTTTTTTTGGAGAATATCAAAAAAATCAAAAATAAAAATAATTACAAAATGATGAAGATAAAATTGATTTATGCATTTAATTATGGCAGCGTTTGGAAATGAAATTTATAGATCACTTTAGCCTCTTCAAGAAAAAAATTCAAAAAGTATTGTTGCTGTCTTCCCACATGATACACAGCTGTAACGGACAAAGGGTAAAATGACGCTTTTGCCTTTTTAATTTTTGAGAAACTCACAACAACAACGATAATACACATAGGGACATTTTGGTCATTTATTATCTCTACATTATTTCAAACACATTTTTCAATACATCAATCTAACAAAAAATCCAACCCATCTTCTTAAATGCAAAAACTAAAATAGTTTACTAAAATAGTCAAATAGGCAAAACCTCTAAAAAGAAAAAAGATTGAATGTATATTTAGCTTTTGTTGTGAATTTTAAAAATTAAAAAAAAAACAAAAGAAAAAAGATTGAATGATATTTAGCTTTTGTTGTGAACCTTAAAAATTAAAAAAAAAACCAAAAGAAAAAATATTGAATGTATATTTAGCTTTGGTTGTGAATCTTAAAAATTAAAAAAAAAATGGTTGTGAACCTTAAAAATAATAAAAAAAAAGATTGGATGTATATTTAGCTTTGGTTGTGGGTCTAAAAAAAAAAAAAGTTGATTGTGAACCTGAAAAAAAAAATAAATAAATAAAAGAAAAGGGATTGAATGTATATTTAGTTTTGGTTGTGAATCCTTAAAAAAAAAAAACATATGGGGAAATTAGTGGGTACCCATCCCCAACCTATCCCCTGTGGATATTTAAAGAATATCACTTATCTTACCCAATGGATAAGAAAAAAAAGGAGAAAACCCATGTTTTTGGGTTGGGTCTCCGCAGCGTCTTCGACGTTTGGTATTAAACGTCGCAAAAACAATTAGAGGCGTTTATGTCACTTATAGCGGCGTTTTTAAAACGCCGCTAAATGTGTATTTTCCAGCAGTGGATACGGGTACGACGGGGATACGTTCGTAAAAAATATTATTTTAACAATTTTTAGTAATGCAGTATGCATAAAAATAAAACCTAAAGCAAAAGACAACTTGATCAAGAAGAAAGATTCCTATAAAACTAAGAGTCTTCAAGGTCAATAGCTTCAACTTGTTCCCCTTCATCATTAAATATCACAAGACCTTAGCTAAAACCAAAAAACCATTCTTAAATAAAAATTTCAGCAAATATACTTTTTTAAGTCATCAATGATAGCCTAGGAAACACGGATACGAATATGGTGATATGGGGATGTGGATATGGCAATATGTCAAAATTTGAAAAAGTACGATACGGGTACAGCGGGGATACATTCATAATTTTTTTTTTTTATATAATTTTAATAATGGTGAGAAAGCGAGAGAGAAGTGAGAGAGACAACAAGGATACATCAATTTGACAAATTCTATTACTTTAACTCTCACTATATTCCTCTTATCAAAGAACTAAACAAAATATTATAAGTAATATATAACTTCGAGTATCCGATACTTCAAAATTAAGTATCCGATACTTCAAAATTAATAAAAAATTAATTAAGAAGTATCTGATACTTTTAAGAAGTATCCGATACGTATCCGCGAGTATCCGAAGAGTATCAGTATCCGATAAGTATCCGATACGGATACGTCACCCTTTTTGAAGTATCCGTGCTTCATAGGTCTCCATGGATACCCACAAGGTAGGTTATCCATTGCCATCCCTAGTCACGAGTTAGAATCCCAAGAAGCACTTGACCTCGTTGGTGCCACCCCTAGGGCACACGTGTTTCAAAACATGTGTGTCGTGTGTGCCGCTATTATCTAGAAAGAATAAATCATGGCTATTGTGTGAATCAAATCAATCTGTACAAATCTTTTCATCCTTTACCATGACCTCAGGAGCTATCCAAAGATCCTTTACCGTCATAGCAATTCTATATCTTGCATAGGAAAATTGAAGAAAATAAATATGATGCTACACACAAAGTGATAACTGGAAAAACAAAAAACAAAAAAAATTGCAAGTTACCTTGTGACTTAGCAAAAGACTTTGATACTACATCAACCCTCATGTTTTTCGGTGTGAAGAAACCCAAAACATATTCAATCATTTCCTCATCCCATACCTTGAATGCATAGTCCCCATAAATAATGTGCTCAGGCGGATAAACCAGCAGATTATCTGCAAGAAACAATATCCATTGCTAGCTTGATGAGAAAATTCAAAAAAATCTAACTATATTACATAAATAAATCAAAACATTCAAGATTATTTGACACTAAACATGGAAACTACCTCAAAGAAAAGAAACACAAAATAGAAAAAAAGTCCTTTTCCATTGTTATTGTTATTATTCTGGTGTTTTTTTTTTTTTGGTGAAAAGAAAGTCCTTTTCCATTGTTTTTTTTTAACAGAAGAAAATTAGTTCATCGAGATTCTGAGAACTCCATAAATTTATTTGAATTTGATAAAACACAAGATTTAGGAAACAAACTGTAAAGCTCTCCATAATAATTATCTGTGCCATTGGCAAAATATATGTTCTTGATCTCATTTCTGGTTCGATAGGATCCAAACAACTTCCATCACCAACTTTCCTAGTGCAAAAGCATTTAGAATTTCAAAATGATGGACCACATATGATAGAAGAAGGCGCCACTGCTAGCAAATGAATTAGTGAATGAAGTCTGTTCTGAGCTAGCAGCAAGAGGCTAATCTCATGCTTATTGTCAAAGCTCTCCATAATAATTATCTCTGCCATTGGCAAAATATATGTTCTTGATCTCATTTCTGGTTCGAAAGTAACCAAACAACTTCCATCACCAACTTTCCTAGTGCAAAAGCACTTAGGATGTCAAAATGATGGACCACATATGATAGAAGAAGGCACCAGTGCTAGCAAATGAATTAGTGAATGAAGTCTGTTATGAGCTAGCAGCAAGAGGCCAAGCTCAACGCAAATAATTGCACTCAAGCAATTTAAACACCTCAAACTAAGGGACTGTCAATTGAATACAAAAAGCAGATACAAGAGGTAAAAAGAACAAAAAGAATATAACCTGCAAGCTCTGCAGCGTAATCATCTTGAGGTTGTTCTTCTGCAAATCTAAATTCCATATTTCCAATATCCTGGAGTTCCTTAAATATCCATTCTTGGGGAGAAACTTGACGCAATAACTTAAGGTATTGATAAACATAGCCAATGATATCAAAGATCTGCATAGCAGCATTACATACCAAAGCAAAAACATCAGTAAAACAGGTTGAAAAAAGAAAAAGTACATCTAAAAAAGATTTATGCAGGTATGTAATGGGTGACGACTGAGTATCATTGTGCTAGCTAGGCAATGGTGACAATTTAAAAGAAGGAGAAGAAGAAGAGATGAGAAGTAAGAGAAACCTGAAGAGAGAACACAAGTATGCTTAAAAATTCTCAGTCATCAATCATGCGTTAAAAGTGATTTTGTCTTTCCATTTTCTTCACCTATAATATGCATGAAGGAATCTCCTCCCTAATCCCCATCGATTCTCCGAGGCTGATAAAAACGTTGCTGATGCAGAACACCGTAGGCAAAGAGAAAAGAATATGTATAAATTTACATTTTCTTTTATCCTTAGATTCAAAGTCATTTTATTCAAACTTATAAAGTGTTTCATTTGTGTCTAAGCAACACATATCTCCCAAATGCCTTAAGCGTGTTTGAGTTTAGAAATTTTTAAAAATAGTAGGATATGTTTAAACGTGTCTAAAAAGTGTGGGGAAGTATCCGACAAGTTTCATTTGGTGTACGATAAGCCACACCACCTTCTTAGAAGTGTTCATGCTTCCTAGTCTACACTTGCAGTAAGGTTAAAAGAAGTAAATGGTCCTCAAATCTTTGAGCCTTAATTTGTTCATTTGATTGCTATATTATACATCCCATCATTAATTTATATCTTTGAGCTGACAATTGCTATAGTAGATCCTATTCCTATTTTATTTGGATGTAAAATGTCAACTAGATTCTTTGGTCAAAAAACATCATGAAAAGTGCCATTAGTCAAAACTGGTCACTATCAATCAAGGGGAACTAGGTACAAACCTAACCTTTACAACAAAGTGAGAGAAAAGAAGAACAAAAGTTTCCTTTGGTGAGTGCTTTCCATCTATAAAAAATAACAATGCTTGATCATATTTCCTTCCACTAGAGTGATTTTGTAGTTATTTGATGTGTAAGAGGTTTGGCAATTGAAAGATAGGATGGAAACGGTAAAAGCAAGGTTGAGAAAAAAATTTCCCCAAGTACATTTGGTTGAGATTGGGAAGGAAAGAGAGACAACTGCATGCTTACGATTATATCTTCCACATATTAAGATAAAGGTGTTTTTAAAGGGAAAATGTACAAGTGGAACACATACCAACCTTTCTTCCTTCCCTGAAAAAGGTGGTTGATTTTATATGTATTACACTGACCATATATTTCCAATAATTCTCCTTTCTCCAAGATAGTCATTATGTAAAAGATAAGAATTAAGAACCAATCATCGACATAAGTCGAATTCTGGAATGCAGTAACCTTAAATGTGCACAACTCTAAAGCAATTTTCTATCAGTTCAAAGGATCCATCCATAAGAGTTGCAATAAATTACAAAGGAAAGCAGACTATACCACAAAAATCAGTAAGGGGTAAGAACAAGTATCTACCTTTTCCAAGCCAGAGTCAGTGAGGTGTATAGACATGCCAAAAATATAAGCTATCAAAGATCTGTGCATTCCTTCATCCCCAACACCAGCTGATATGGAAGTTGCCCACCCTTTAGCTTTTAGAAAGAAGTGCAAGCTCCCTTTGCCCTCTGGAAAAATATTAACTTGTCTTCAGATATTAAAACTCATGCCTAAACATGTTGACAAGCAATGGATATGGACCAGAAAAAGCAATTACCATACTGTCAGAGACCTTTTGGCTTACAAGACATGCGTTGAAAGTATACCATTTTACATGTGATATAAACCAACTACACTAAAACATGGCACAAGATCCTAAAAGATAATAATTATCAAAATCAATGAAAGTTAACTGTATTATTTGTTCTCATTTGACAAGAATATCAATCAATAGAAGTAGGGGGAAAACGAGGCCCAAAACAAAGTGGAGAATGAGTGCAATGGCTAAGCAACATCCCCATCAAAATCCTTGTTTAACGAGATGGCCCAATAACTAAAGATCCATTGAATTTCTCAACTATGATAGAGAATTTGCACTCTTCCACCCAAAGCCTCTAGCCTTTCATTATTTTGCAAACAATACAACCTAGAAGATCACTTGCCTTGGTATGTAAAACAGGAACACAGATCCAATGTAATAGGGGCATGATTGTAAAGATCACTTAGATGGGATCCGTTGAGGTATTTTGGATACAAGAGTGATTTTCTTTAAAAAATCAGAATATTAAGTGAAACAAGATATTGTAAATTGCAATGTATCCTATGCAAATATTGTGCTTCATGGGCTATGTCTACAGGCAAGTTTGGATTTTCTCAAGTGTTGTAAGACATCAATAACAAAGGGCAACCCAATGCACGAGGCTCTCACTGAAGTGGGGTTTGGAGAGGGCAATTAGTTTTTAATATTAATTTTTCAAGTTTTTAGAATTTATTGACATTAAATTTGTTACAAATGTAAATAACATGATCAACTTCGCCCATTTATTTGTATAAAACAAAAAAATTATCTAACAATGCTTATAGCAACCTTTGTATTGACTTATGAAAGTATGAAGCATGAGCTAGATAATGAAATTAATCAGATGCAAATTTTCAACCAAGTCTCGTTTTTATAAATATCATAATACAACAATGACTCTTGTTTTGATACTCCTTATATAACTTTTTCCTAAATCTAAAAAATAACATTTGGATTAAAGTATGGGAAGTTGTTTTCCAATATTTTTCTTATTATTTTTTTTTTATGACTGGATGTCTTAAATTTTGGAATATCATTCCCTAAAATTTTGAAATTCCAAACTAAACAAACAACCTTATTACATGAATATCTTGGAAATTAATTTTCCCGTATTCTTCGGTAAAACAAATACAGCCTTAGGTGTAGATGAAACATGGATTGCGACATCTATTGACAACTGAAATCTTACATCAAAGAGAGTGTTCAGACCAATAGCATTCAACCTAATTCTTAAGCAAACTTTCTCGAGGAATGGTATGAAAATGTAACAAGTCCTAAGATTGAGAGATCACTAAAAAACAAGGAAATCTCCAAAAGGTGCTATTGAATATAAATAAAAAAAAATAAAAATGCAAAGACCTAATAAAAAAAAAAGGTACGAGGGAGAAAATCACAGCAACCTCCTATAGTGAAGAAGCAATGCAAGGATAGATGAATTGTTTTCATGTTCTAAAATTTTCCAAATTCTCTAGTAAATTTGGTGGAATTTAGAAGTGTGTCCAAATTTAAATAGGACAAATGTCAGATGATAAAACTTTGGTCATACGTTGGGCAGGCTCAACCAAATCGAATAGAAAAAAACCACACACACACATTCACCAAATAACCATTAAAGAAGCATGTCCACCTTTGTCTAAATAAAAGACACATTTTACTTCATTCAAATGAAACATGAAAAGATGTGAGCACATAATATCTTACCATGCCCAATGAGATGAGCCAGGTAATCTTCTGATTTTTTCAAATAATCTTTTCGAAGACATGGCAATGTCCATGACAAATTGAGGATATGAACATCTTTAACTGCCTCTAACCTGTAAAGTTTACCAGCGTTCCAGATAGGAACTTCCATCCTAGCCTCTTGCTTTAGGGGAGGACCATTTTTGACATTGCTAAATAATTCGAGAATCCAACTCTCAAGTACATCTAGAGTCTCTGCAACATTTGAAAGAACAACATTAACATAAGTACATAACATTCATAGATATTTCATTTCCGTCACAATGTCAATTACATCATTGTCACAAAACTGATTGGAAAAACTCATACAAACAATGTTCATTTGTAAGCCTTTCAAATTTGAGTATTCAACAAACTGCAGCAAACATAATTTCTGATTAGTGAAATTCTTAATCAATTAATCATTACTGGTATATAACGAAATAATTTGACTATTGTTGAACAAGTTTTGGATCATGCCAATTGTTATAATTTGAGACAATTGTTAATATTCAAAATGTGAATCATAGATTGTCATTATCCAATCAAATTGATTTCAGCAACAGAATCCCAGAGGTTTGTTTCAATATACGAGGAAAAATTCCTTTCCTTACAAGGAAGGTTCTCATAAAATCTTCAAATTGAAAAACAAACAAGAAAAAACATGCACAAATGAATTTCAAATCTCAAGTAGAAACAAGTATGAAGTGAAGTTCCATTTTTAAAATCCTCTCAAGGAGGTGTTCACTTTGGAGATATCTAGGATGCAGAAAGAGTTGTTGATTAAACAACTGAATTGAAGGAAATTTGCCAGAAATAGTCACTTAAATACCCTTGAAGAACATTTCATTACATAAACTATTAGCTTTGATTGCTTCTAGCCACCTTTCTCCCTAGAGCAAATGCCAACACACAACAACAGCCTCCACCACCTCCAACTTGATCATCAACTTTACCACCTATCACTACATACCTTTACTACCATGATACCATCATTGCATCAGCTAATATTGAAGCAACTGCACCGGCATTTTAACAAAAGTATTAGCATACAATTGTATGCTACTTCCAAAACACAGAGCGACAATCACAACCTTCAGTTTTTTTTTAATTTATTTTATTTTATTGTTTGAGTTGGTAATGCAATCACCACCACAACTGTGTCGTCACCAACATATCACTTTTCAGTCTCTCTCCATCACAACCATGTTCTATCACTACCTTTGCCAACTCTTTCGGTGATGGATCCATGATTGCGCATCTTTGAACCTTAACCTTGTGGGTTGCATCAATTCAATCATTGAGCACCATGCTACAAGAGGACAGGACTGACTCAAACATAGTTATTGGAACAACAAAATCAATACCTTAACAGACTTAGTTCAACAAATTAATCTCTCTCTCTCTCTCTCTCTCTCTCTCTGATGCAAACCTGCAAAGAGGTACAATGCAATTAAATGACATCAAATGTGCTACAAAAGGAACATACCTCCCCCAATCACAACTAGCTTCATCAACCCACCATGGTAATTATCACTGTATAATTTTAGAATTTGCTCCCTCAGATTAATTCCCTTCTCCATGGCATCAACCAGGCTTTTCTTGTTCCCTTCCAATCAAAGAAAGAAGTTGTTCAGTATAAAAGATGCATCAAGGTCAAAAAAGAAAGAAGCTAAGATTTATGCAAACTTACCCCAAAAGAATCGGTTGAAAGGGTGGCCAGGTGCTGATGTATGGCATTGTAGTTGTTGAAGACGGCACAAATCATTTTGCAGAATCTGATTAAATTCTGTGATTCATTTTCGTTTCACATTGTCAAATAACATTCCACAAGCTTGAACCGAGAGCATGAAAAAGGAGCATGGTGTTTTGCTAAGTGAAACAATTGAAATCAGTGGTTTAATTTAGTTTGACACACCTGAATCCACAGCTTGAACCTCTCGTTCCATGGCTTCAGCTTTCACTAAAGGTGAAATGAAAAACTGTGAAAATCTGCGGAACAAAATGGACCATATAAATATCTTCGCCATTTTTTATACACGTAGGAAGGGGAAAAAGAGCTTATAAAATTAAGATTTTGGCAATTCTCATTCCACTAGCAAGTTGCAACACATCATCTGCCATACACATCAAGCAAGCAACTTTTAGGGTGTAGTGTTACCACTGAATCTTGTCTCCAACATCCTTTGCATCACCAGCAACCCAAAATTCACTGCTTTGATTGTTCAACTTCCCCTTCAAGTCTTATGGGTTTTCAAGTTCGAAGATTATGAGTTTATTCTCATTCTCTCAACCACATTGCAGGCATTCCAAAATTCAACAGAAATAAAAAGGTCAAGTAGAACTACCTGTTTGCTTTTATGAGCAATAAAATTTATAGATGTTAATCGTGCATTTCAATGGTATTAATTAATATATCTTTCCTTTAACAAGTAAAATTTATTCAAAAACACATCCAAGGGGCTCCACCCATGTACAAAGAAAATTAACAAAATCATAAAAGTCACCCATAAACCTCCTTGTGAATCAAAAGACCCTAAAAAAGTCCAAAAATTGATTGAGGACTGGACTAACTAACAACACCCGACTCCTAACTATACAAAGCACACAAAAAAGTACATTTTGAAATGGCATTGATTTTCAGTGGGTAAACTTGTATTTCCATTTCAGGCCCCGTTTGTTTTGGGGTGTAGAGGGTGGGATGGTATTAGGATGGAGGTGGGATCCATTTAGTATTGTTTTTGTTTGTAGAGTTGGGGAAGGGATTGAGATGGAGGAGGAGATTAGGATGGAGGTTGGAAGGGGGGATTGGGATGGAGGAGGTGGATGTGGTATTAGAAAAATAATCCGCCGGACTACAAATTTTTTACTTTTTACATGTTGGGTATTTTTTTTTGAACATTAATGTTTAATTTTTTGTATTTTTTTTATTATTTTATATAAAAATAATTTAACAATTCCTTTGCTAACAACTATTATCAAAACAAATACAATTTTACTTAATCCCCTCCCAATCAATCCCCTCACTAACAATCCCCTCACTAGCAATCTCTTCCATTTTACCTCTGAAAACAAATGGGGCCCCAAGGAAATCTTACAAGGACCACCCAAAAGAAGAAGCAAATTTGATTCCAGCCCTTCCATTAGCACTTTTTTTCTCAATACTTGTATTTTCTACATTCCAGTTTAAAAATAAGATAGATAATAATTCAATACAGAACTAAAGGCATAGATATAAACAAATAATAAAAATTTATGGTAATTTCATCTTTTTTATGACCTATTTAGGATTATTTATTGCTTAAGAAGAAATAATACAGTGACCATTAAACAGTAGTGCGAAACCAACTGTGAGTTTAAGTTTACATATTGGATAAAAAGGATAACCCAGTGCAAGAGGATCTCGCTAAAGCGAGGTCTGGGTAAGGCAAGATGTAAGCAGCCTTATTTCCATTTTAGAGAGGTTGTCGTCATAATCGGATCCGCACCACCAGGAACACTAAAGGCAAGCCTTAATGTTGGGCTGAAACACCCTTTCAGGTTTACGTATTGGATATAAAATGAAAATTTAATCCAAAATTCCAAAAAGATATAAATGTGAAATGTAAATATATAGTGTTTTTGGCAATAAAGTATAGATAATTACTTGTTTAGAATTATGTAAATGGTTTAAAAGGAATTTTTGTCCATTTAGTCTTTAATCCCACACACCCCTTTATCATACCCCTAAACTAAATGTGGAAAAGTATTTGATTACCTTAAATTTTCATTTAGTTTAAGTACTATATATTTAATTAGACCTAAATGACAATTACTATATGAAATGGAAATTGAAATTTATTGAGCCATGAACTTCAAATTCAAAAGTAATTAAAACAAAAGTAGGACACCATGTTGTGCTGTTTCAATAAAATCTATGATCTTACAAGCTCAACACCTCTTGCTTTACCATCATTCCAACAACTGACCCTGGTATTCATGGAGTGTTTTTATTTAGTTCAATAAGATTAAAAGTATAAATAACAAAAAAAAAATCATTGAATTAAAAGTCTTGCCTTTGTCAAAACATTTCCTAATGATGTAGCTAATCAAACACTGTTGGCCTAGACATGAAAAACAAAACAACTTTGCCAGGGATAATACTTAATGGTTTACTCCATAAACTACTCCTCACTCACATGGGAGTGGAACCAACACCATGTGATGATGTGGGCATCACTCCACATGTGAGCGAAGAGTAGTTTATGAAGCAAAAGATTAGGTGTCAATACCTTTTTCCAAAACAAAATAGTTGATTTTCTCATTACCAAAATGCATGTCTATTCCAAATGTAGATTCATAAATCCTGAACATTTCTATAGTTCAACAATAAGAAACTCCCATGTATAGTTCCAACCATAATTAATATAAGACTTCAGGCAAAGAGACAACAATAAGACTTCAGGCAAAAGTGCACAGCAGCAATATATAGTTCAACCATATTTAATTAACATAAGAATAAAGGGACTGGCAACTGGATACACAGGACTTAGGTAGACACACTTCATATGTACACGTAAATAATATCTAAGTTTACCTTCTTAAGGCACCCTTGAGAAACTCCCGTTTAACTTCGAAATGGTAGCAGGTATGCTCAGCTTCTGTGTATGCATTTGAGGAACCTCCATGCTTCGACAAGTAACTATCATACTAGCAAAGAAAAAAGTCAAAATGGGAGGCTGAATGGACATTAAGTCACCACCTACATATATCAATATCATCTTAATCCATACAGTGATATGATTTCACAAATATGATGAACATTAGTGTGAAACACACATAAAGCTGCATAAAATTATGAGCATCTCTTGCATGATTTGTACGCAGAATGTTAAAGAAAATAAAGACTGACATACCTCATTTTCATCCGGGAAATCAGTACTCCCCATGAAGAGCATGTGTTCTGCAAAAATATATGGATTTAGGTAATAACGATTCAATATCAAAATTCTTAGAACACCAAATCATTCCCTCTCTTGTTCTGAATATGTATTTATACATTCATGAGAAAAAAAAAATCATAAGAAAGTAGAGTGTAGAAAAGAAAAAGTAAAATGACCACTTAAAGAACAAGAAGAAGAAGAATTCTTAAACACCAAAACATTCCCACTCTTGTTGTGAATATGTATTTAGATTAAGAAGAAGAATTTTTAAAACACCAAAGCATTCTATCTCTTGTTCTGATTTGTATTTACAAGAAAAGAGGCTCAATCCAAAGAGCTACACCAAGCAACACCACATTAAAGCCCATTAAGTTAAGGGCAAGTTTAATCAAATCCCACCCCACAGACCTCTTCAAACATATAGTACTTAAATTAATGCTAGTATCACCTTTCCGCTCATATGAAGTTTTAGTAATTTATTAGGATTTCTTAACCATTGAAGACATCACAACAGTAATGATAAAATGTAAGCAGTTGAAACTTAAAAAAATTAAGTTTGCCAGATTCAAGTCAGGATTTGATGGTGACACAGACCTAGAAAATGCGCAAGACCCTGTGCCTCAAAAGGATCAGAGAAGCTACCCATTCCAACACACAATGCTGCTGCTGCCTGCATACATTAACAGATTGGAAGAAAGCTTTCAACTTCCAATGCTAATTGCAACTCCGATGTAATCTCAATCTCATTATCCCAAAGCAACATACTATTACAAAACAAAAAGCAAACCTGTTTAGTCTGAGAAGCGCCTTTCTTCGCCTTTGTTTTTGCTTCACCGGCTTCATCTTCATCTTCATCTTCTTCATTGTCCTCGTCCTCTTCTTCACTCTCTTCACCTTCATCATCGTCTTCATCTTCGTCCTCTACTTCTTCGTCTTCGTTTTCACTGGCAATCTTAGATTGTTCGAGAGCTCCGTCAGGGTAAATCTCTGGATCGTGAACGAGCAGAGCACAGAGTCCATTCTTAAGCTGTACGTATCTGTACAACCGCCTATCAGTCGGCGACTTTATCACGATATCGTCCGACGACGAAGTACAACCACCCACTGCCATTCCTTCTATAGTATCAGATTGAAGAGAGAGAGAGAGAAAGCCAATCGAATATATATATATATATATATAAATGAACTCTCTCTCACTCACTCACTCTCTCTCCTCAGGTCTGTTATGGTGTCTGCACTCGAAATAGGGCTTCTTTCTTCTTCTTTATAGATGATGCTTCGCTTCGCTTGCAGACCGGGACGATCGTCTACAGTTCACCGAACAAGACCGGTTCATGACTCTTCGTACATCCAGACAACCAATGCTTGTCCGCCACTTCATAAAATAGGCATATGATTTGGGCATAATTGTAAATTTACGTTCTCAAGCAACATTCACGCCACATCTTTTGATGACGTGTCAAATATATATTGGATCTGTGATATTTATCTGTGTAGCTGTTTACACCGAATGATAGCTTGTCCACCAATTCATAAAACTAAACTAGGTATATATGATTTGGACGTAATTGTAAATTTACGCCCTCACGTAACATTCACGCGATGCCTTTTAATGACGTGTCAAATATATATTGGGTGCTCAGATATTTACCTGTGCATCTGTCTACACCGAAAGATTTTGTGTATTGTTGTGTAAAACCATTAAAAAAACATTTGAAAATTAAATTTATTATTTTTTATTTTTAGTAAATATTTTTAAATTTTTAAGTATTTTTATTTTTTAGATATATTTTATTTAAATATATTTAAAAAGTAAAATATTTATAAAAAATATTTTAAAAAATTAATAAATACATAAAAATATATTAAATTTTTGTATTTTTTTTTATATTTTTGATATTTAGTAAATTTAATTTTTTTTTTTTATAAAAGTTATAGGTTTGTTTGGTTTGTTTTTCAGAAAAAAATTTTGAAAAAAAATTCTCTATAAATAAATTTTCAAGAATAATTAAATCAAACAAACTTTTTCAAAAAAAAATTTCAAAATTTTGTTTGGTTACTTACTTTCAAAAATCATTCTCTCTCTCATACATATCAAATCAATCACTTTTTTTAAAATTCTCTCCCAAAAATAATTTTATAAAATTATTTCTGAAAAAAGGGAAGCAAACAAGTTTTCGTACTTTTTATCTAAAAAATTGCTCTACAAACACAAATCAAACACACCATATATATATATATATTTTTAAATGTGTTTAGAGTGTTTTGAGAAGATAATTAAAAATTATTTTTTTGACTTTTTTGTGAAAAAGAAAATTGAGTTAAAAATTAAGAAATGACTTTTAACTCACTTATCAAAATAGACCTTTACGTTAGTTATGTTTAAAAATTTTAAAAATTATTTAAAATATTAAAAAAATTGAGTTAAAAAAAAACGAAAAAGAAAGGAAATTTTTTGAAAAATTGTTTTTAGACCAAGCAAGGTGATTGCATCGATTCATACACAGCATCAGACATGGAACTACAGAACCCTAGAATTGCGTAGAACAAAAGAGTTGGAACCCTAACCCTAATTCAACTTTATTTGTTCACAAGTTAGGGTTTTTATTGAAGGTTTCAGTTTTAATGGACATTGATGTGGCTCGATGGGTTCTCGATTTCATTCTTCGGCAATCGGTGGACGACCGCTTGCTGAACGCTCTGATTCGAGTTCTTCCTCTTCCGAACGACAATTCGAGTTTGAAGAAAGCAATGCTACTGCGAAGAATAGAGTCGGAGATTGCAAAGTGTTTGGTTTCCGAGAAAATTCTCGAACTATTGGAACGTATCGAAGAGTTGGATTGTGAAGAAGGCGTTGAGGCTTCGAAGGCAATGAAAGGGGCGTATTGCGCAGTGGCAGTGGATTGTGTTGTAAGGTTTCTTGATGAGAGTGAGGACAAAGAAGCTAAGTATTTTGATGCCGTGAAGAGAATTTGGAGGGGTAGGGTATGGAAGATGGAGAGGTCGGAGAAGGCGGTGGGATTGGTTTCGGATGAATTGCGGAGTTGGAAGGACGAGATTGAGGCGGTGGTTTGGGATGCAAGTGTTTGTGAAAATGTGCAAATGAGGAATAGACGGAATGATGCATTGGAGGCGGTTAGAACCTATGTTGCTGAAGTTTGGGAGATTATGGGTCCGTCGTTTCTTGACTTGGTGGCTGAGACAGTGAGTGATGACACAATGAAGGAAGTGCTGGGATTGGGCAATAACCAAGTATGCAACGGAGTTGGAGAGATAGCAGCTTGTATGCCGGATTCGAGTCATGATTTGATTGCCGGCAAAGGCAATAATGGTAAACCTCATTCTCATTGTTCATATGAATATTGGTCATGTCCCTTTTTCTTACAGTTTTCAAATATTTCAAGTTACAATATGTATGAGAGGGTTCAAGAATGTGGTCTAGAAATTCGAAGATCTTTAAAGAGCACTTGAATTCTCTAGAAATGATGAGAGACTTAGGCCAAGTTTGGCATAACCTAAATACTACAAAAAGTCAAAAAGTCACTATCCTATTTAAGTCACATCATCTTATTTAAATCACATCACTTCTCTAACACATCACATTAAACCCAACCCAAATCCAACCCATATAAGCCCATAAGTCAAAAAGTGCATTTTTTTAGAACATCCCAAACGAACCCTTAGATTCTTTAACAGTCACAACTAGGAATACAATAGCAAAGAGATGATGGAGATAAGAGATTGGGTGAAAAAGAAGGCAAAGTAGTTAGAGAGAATAATGACAAGGCTCTCCCATGGATCTCCTACTTTCACTCTCAAAGTAGATGATGGAGAAGGGAAATTAGTTCTTACCCAAGAGTTGTCTCTTCAAAATCTATTCCTTGTAAAGCTATGGGTGTGTGTTATTTATAGGCACCTCATGATGTAGGATGGAGCCCATGTGCAAGACACATGGAGAATATTTTCTCTAATCACCTTGTTCGAGGAGGTGATCTCTCCGAGAATGAGGAAAATCCCGAAGAGGAGATCAACCTCTCGGCGAATCCTTCTTCTTAGCCACACCTAACTAATGATCCCTAATCATCTCAAAGGGTTAGGAATAGTCCTAAAGGACGCCCTGCCGTAGAAGGGTCAGGGTTAGTTCAAGAGAATGCCCTGTCGTAAATATTGTCGAGTCTCAGGGACCCCCTAGATCGTACCACCTCGACCCGAGTATAGGCTAGTTTAACCGAATAGTGAATTTATCTCCACTCACCGTCCTCGGGATCGAGTCCTTTGTTTAGACTCCATTAAGCCCATGGTTCTAGTATGTACATCCCGAAAAGTTTCGAGCCCGCAAGTGTTTTGGGACTCATTAATGGAGCGGCTTCTGGATTGCGTCCAAATCTGTTCGAAGCCAAGCGTTTCGGATCTCTAGGTTCGTAGATTCGAACCCTTTTGAGTCCGAGCTTAAATAGGTCTCTAGATTCATGGTTCCGAACCCTTCAAGACTAAGCAAATACCTCGAAGAATAGATCTCTGAGGGTTTCATATCTTCTGAAAGCAATAGTTAACCTCATTCGATACCCGTATGATCTAGACCTCCCCGAATGGGCTTGTTGGGCTTTTTTTTAGAGATATATGCTTGAAATGTATCATTCTCGGCCCTATTTGTTGACTTTTTTGTGGGCTCGTTTAATAGAATTCACTTGGCTCATTTGACAATAATTTCTCCAAGCTCGCCAAATTTGGGCTTTCCGATTAGGCTTCGATTGGACCCAATTAATTTAGTGGGCTCAAGTTAACCCCTCTTATATTTTGGCCCGTGCATGTATGGGAAATTTTGAATTTCTCGGACATGCATATTTTCACTTTTTCAGTTATGCTTTGCTTCATTTCCTCGGGCATGTGTTATTAGATTATTTTGAAATCTTAAAAAATTGTTTAGAATTTCACCATTCCTACGTTGCAGTTGCAGTTGCATCCTGAACGGTCCGTTTAGTTAGGATAAACCTTTGCTGCATTTTTGGGAACCTTACTGAAATACTTTCCTGAGAGGTGGGTCATACCATAATTATCTAAAAATTCGGAGTCATATTATAGTTTAAAAAAAAAAAATAGAGAATATTTCGCCAATACCTAGGAATATCTGCCTGCATCATGTTGCGTCAACCTTGTGTTATATTTCTCTCCAGTAAATATTTAAACACTTGGCTTTGGTGAAATGTGTAGGTGTTATGCCCTAGATGCATTGGATAATTCCTTGTGTATTACCTGGGCCCACACAACTTTTCTTCATTATTTTGATTCCAGTTTTTTTCAAATCCTTTTACTATTTGATTCACCAATCCAAACTTTTCTCTTCCAAGTCAAAAGAAAATCAACTAACAGCAGACCCATTTATAAATATATATATATATATGCTCTTAGAATAATTGAGAGACCACCGAACTACACTTTTTTTTTTTTTATTTGCTCCAAGCCAAGGACAAAAACCCTTGCCCTTATCCCCTTTCTTTCTCTTCTGTAAAATAAATGGAGACTCACTGTTTTCCTTCCTTGAAATTTGAAACCCATTTGTTTGTTTTTGAAAATCAACAGCTCAGCATTTTCCTTTCTGCAATCAGTGAACCAAAGCTCCATCCTACTCCAGAAACCGCTAACAGCATATCATGCCATAGCTACACTGTAGTTCCAGTTCACCTAGCGACGTCGGTGTCACGGCCCAGCGGCGTAATCCCTTAGCCCTATCATCTTGCGCCGACACCAACCCAGCTCGCCATCGGTGTTCCATTTCAGCTGCATTTTTCAGAGCTTCGAACACACATATCTCAGTCTTGTTTCACATCCACTGAAATCTACTGCCACTGGTTCCAGTTGCAACTAACCAAAGCCGACAACGTCGCCCACGTAGTGCGACGTTGGCCTGCCCAGCACCCTTCTCGCCTACTGCTTGTGTACACTGCGCGCGCCGATCCTGGGTTTGTGCGTCTCATACTTGCGGTGTTGCCGCTGTTTCCAGTCGTGGCCCGCACCCATTCCGGCTTACATTACTCTCAATTTCTTTCTTGCTCATTGTTGCTTCAAATTTGATCTTGCTTTTTCAGATCTGTGGGTTAGCTCTGTTCAAACCCACTTTCCCTTCTTGTTTTGATGGACTTTTATGCTCATGAGCTTAGATTCGTGAAATACATAATTGAAATTTTTTGCAATCTTGCCTATCTCCACTGATTTATTGTTGCTATTAGTACTCACAGCACTGTTTTGTTGATTTGGGAATGATAAAGCATTATCATACTCAGTTATTTATTTTCTTTGATTCAAAGGAGATGAACCTTTGACAGTCGAACTTCTGAGCTTGTCGTTACACACTTTGTAGAGCAAAAATCGGAGTTAATAATCATGCATAAGTTGAATCACTAATGTTGAATGTTGTTTGCATATTACAACCTTTGAGTTTGATGTTTGAGGGGATGAAGTTGTTGATCAAGTGGATAATTAAAGAAATAAATAATTGATGCTGAAATTATGTTTGCACATTGTTGTTTTACGTCGGCTCGAGAGGAATCGACCCGAATAAACAAGATCTTGATTGTTACATTTTCATGAACTTGCTCGGGGGCATAAAATTGTTGTGGCTTAAGTAGATCATTATTATTTGTTGATGTTGTCTCATTCTAATAATGCCTGAATCATGATCTAAAATTGATATTGTTCATCTTGTTTGTCGGTTTTGTTATTTGAGGTGAATGAATTCTTGTAAAAAAGAAAACTCCACGACCCCGGGGTCCTTAGAACCCACACTAATGAAAGCAAGGGTTGTCTCTCGAAAATCCAAACGGAAGTAAGGCTGTCTCTCAGGAGTCCGAATGGTAACACACACCCCACTTCGGCAAGAAAGATCCCTTCTGACAGGCAATCGAGTCTCGAGGGCTATTATTCGGAAGTCCAAGTGGGAACACACACTCTACTTCAATAAGAAAGATCTTCGAAGCTCGCATTGATGGAAGCAAGGCCTGTTCTTCGAAAGTCTGAGCGGGAGCACACACTCTACTTTAACAAGAAAGATCCTTTAAGCTCGCATTGATGGAAGCGAGGTCCGTTCTTCGAAAGTCTGAGTGGGAGTGCACACTCTACTTTAACAAGATAGATCCTCGAAGCTCGCATTGATAGAAACAAGGTTGTTCTTCAAAAGTCCGAGTGGGAGCACACACTCTACTCTAACAAGAAAGATCCTTTCTGGTGGGCAATCGAGTCTACTACTTCTCTTTCTTCGTCGAGTGGTGACAAATGAAAACAGTCTTCAAGCAACATAACACAATGAAGATACACAATATAGAGAAAATAAACTTCTAATGGAGATACACAATATGGAGGAAATAAATTTCTTCATAACATAAGAAAGATAGAACTTCTTGGACAATGCAGTAAATACAATGTAAATGTCACAGATAGACTTCTACGGAATGTCGACATTTGACCCTAGAGTTGCAAGGTCATTCGGAAAACTTTCACTACTTGCTCAGGTTGTGGCCGTCATACGCCATCATAGCCACGCTTTCTAAGATATCCTGGGGCCCTTGTTCTTTGAACTCTAGCTCATCTGCTTCGACTTTCTTTCTAAAGATCTTCTTAAGCGTCCAACACTTTTCTGTAAGATGTCCTATTGATCGGTGGAAAACACAATAATTAGGGCCCTTGCAGTCTTTCTGTGGTAAAAGCTCTTTGATACGAGGCAACTTTAGTTCCCCGTTTGCCACCCATTTTTTAACTAAGGCCTCCACTTCCTCAACACTACACGGAAAATGAGTGTTATCTTCGCAGTTTTTCCTCTTCTGACCTCTGAATTCCTCCCCCTGCTACTTTCGGGTAGAAGGCGTAGAAGCCGTAGTGACAGAAGGTCCTCGGGATGTCTTGAAGCTGGTTTTATAACTAGTCTCGAACCCAATCTCCTGAGACCGAGGTATGTTGATGTTCCGAGATGCTTCAATTAGTGCCGAGATTGTGGGTAGCTTGTGATTAACAAGAAGCATCTTGTACTCGTTCAATGCCCATTCGACACAGATTTGGACCAAGTAGTTTTCACGAGGCTGCCTCGTGACAGTCTACGGTTTTGTCTTGGAACCTCTTCATATATTCAAGAATGTCTTCACCCTCCCGCTGCTTTTCCTTACACAGGGTAAGTGTGGTCACTTTCTCGGCCACCTAAAAGAATTTGGCGTGGAATTTGTTGACTATCTCCTCCCAATTTTGGATAGAGTTTGGGGCCAAGTTAACATACCAACTATATGTTCGGTCGATAAGGGACTTGGAGAATTCTCTCAGTTGAAGGACATGATTTGAACTATGAATCCCCAAAGTCTCGATGAACGAAACATGTTCTTGAGTATTTCCTTGTTTGTCATCAAATTTGATGAACTTCAGCATTTTGTACCCCTCCGGGTATGAATAACTCAACATCTCGATAGGGTATGGTGGCCTGACATCCGGATTAGGCAAAGAGGGTAAAGTCCTCTTGCCCCGTTCAAGATCGAACATGACTTGTACATCGGCGAGAGTGAGAGATTGTTGAGGGAGAGAACTTGATGGTGGTATTCCCGAAACTTGGCTTGTAGACTTGAAGACCGAGGCTAGAGCGACTTGGCTATTTGGGTGTTGAGAATTCACTATCCGTGTAGAAACGTTGTGATATTGACCATTGGCGTCTATGGATATGACATTCCGTGATAGAGCGGTAAATTAAGTTCCATAAACTCCGTTACATGCCATGGGTATGCCGAGTTGAGCTTGGAAAGCCGTTGTCGGAGCCAAAGGAGACCCGCTCAGTACATGAGTAGAATTTACAATCGGTGGAACTAAATTAGGCATGGATGGAGCACCATTTTGTAAAGAAATTTCTATGGGCCTTCCTTGAACTTTCGTAGCTGCTGGAACACCATTCATTGCGCCGGAAACTCCAACCATCGCTGGACCATGGCTTAATCCTCCAGGTGAGTAATTTTGTGCTCCATGGGCCACAGGTTGGCCATGACTTGTTCCTCCTACCACTTGATTTTGCACACCATTTTGAGCAACTTCAGGGAGAATTGGGGGTGGGTCTTGATGGTTTTGAGCATTTCCAACATCACTATGAAGTTGTTGATGCTTGTTGGCGTTGGCGCCGGCTTTGACTTGACCTCCATTTGTTGCTGGTGGTGCGAATTTGAACCTATCACCAACATAGTGTGGGTGAGATTTTGAACGGTCATGAGAATCTCTTGTTGAGTGTGTTGGAGTCCTTGAATGGCTTCAAGGATGAGAAGTGGGTCTTGAACTTGAGTCCTCTCATCACCACCATTGGAAGAGCCTTGTTGATGAACTTCTTCTTCTCCCGCCATCTTCTCCGGAGTTGTGTAGATTCCAGATATTGTTAAGACCATTAACCAATATGCCTTCCTAGCAGAGTCGCCAAATGTATGAAAGGGTTCAAAAATGTGGTCTAGAAATTCGAAGATCTTTAAAGAACACTTGAATTCTCTAGAAATGATGAGAGGTTTAGATTCTTTAATAGTCATAACTAGGAACACAATAGCAAAGAGATGATGGAGATAAGAGATTGAGTGAGAAGGCGCCAAAGTAGTTAGAGAGAGAATAATGGCAAGACTCTCTCATGGATCTTCCATTTTCACTCGCAAGGTGCATAATGGAGAAGGGAAATTAGTTCTTTCCCAAGAGTTGTCTCTCCAAAATCCATTCCTTATAAAGCTATGGGTGGGTGTTATTTATAAGCACCTCATGATGTAGGATGGAGCCCATGTGTAAGGCACATGGGGAATATTCTCTCTAACCACCTTGTTCGAGGAGGTGACCTCTCCGAGGATGAGGAAAACCCTGAAGAGGAGATCAACCTCTCGGCGAACCCTTCTTCTTGGTCACACTTAACCAATGATCCCCAATCATCTCAAAGGGTCAGGGATAGTCCCAGAGGACGCCCTGTTGCAGAAGGGTCAGGGGTAGTTCAAGAGAATGCCTTGTCGTAAATATTGCCGAGTCTCAGGGACCCCTTAGATCGTGCCACCTCGACTCGGGTATATGCTAGCTTAACGGAAGAGTGAATTTATCTCCACTCACCGTCCTTGGGATCGAGTCCTTTGTTCGGACTCAGTCACACCTATAGTTCTGGTACGTAGATTCCGGAAAATTCCGAGCTCGCAAGTGTTCTGGGATTCATTAATGGAACGGCTTCTGGATTGCGTCCGAATCTGTTCGAAGCCAAGCGCTTTGGATCTCTAGGTTCATAGATCCGAACCCCTTCGAGTCTGAGCTCAAATAGGTCTCTAGGTTCGTGGTTTCGAACCCTTTCAAGACTAAGCAAATACCTCGGAGAATAGATCTCCTCTGAGGGTTTCATATCTTCTGAAAGCAACAGTTAACCTCCTCGGACACTCGTATGATCTGGACCTCCTCTAATGGGCTTGTTGGGCTTTCTTTAGAGATATATGCTTGAAATGTATCCTCCTCAGCCCTATTTGTTGACTTTCTTGTGGGCTGGTTTAATATAATTCACTTGGCCCATTTGACAATAGTTTCTCCAAGCTCACCAAATTTTGGGCTTTCCAATTGGGCTTCGATTGGATCCAATTAATTTAGTAGGCTCAAGTTAATCCCTCTTACACAATAATATATTTTTCTGGATATAGATTTTTGCAGGGAAGTAAAAGGAAAAGGTTATGTTCTCTTTAGGGTTTGCTTTCTTCTTTTTTCATGGTCATATAATTCTTCCATTCATGTCAAAGCTACATCAATCAGCTATCTATTTTCGTTCTCCTTATGCAATTAGTTGACTAAACATTTTGTTTGCTCAAGTTTTTTTCAAAGGTCAAACATATGGGTTTTGTATTTGTCTGTTTTAATTAAGGATTGTATTATTTTAGAAATGCAGAGGGGTATTGCGCTGCCCAGACGCAAGCATGTTGCTGTCAAACGAGGTAGAGTGAGCTCTGGGACTTCTAGAGGAGTTAAGATTGCTGATTCAGATGATTTGGACATAGGGAAATCATCAAACAATTATGGCTGCCTACCTACTCCTGAAATTAATAAAGTACAAGAAGCACTCAGAACCAGTCGTTTGGATCTACGTGCAGCAGTGAAAGATCCCCTTCCTGATGCACTACAGGTTGCTGAAAACGTAATATCTAGCATGAGAAGAGAAGATATGAATCAGGAGCCTTCCGTGGAAGGACAGAAGGTAGATGTGGAAATATCCATTCATTCTGTTGACAGGAGTGCTGAGGCTGCTCAGGCCAATGAGGCTAATCTCGGAAATCAATGTTCCAGGCATCAGAATAATGTGCCTAAACCCAGCCTAATGGCACGCAATAGTACCGCCCACACTTGTGAGGTAATGATTTCATGTTATGTTTTTCTTATCTCTTAAATTAGTTGTTAAGTTTAATGGTAAATGGGGTTCTCAAGGTGATTTTTAGTTTTCTATTATCCAAGCATACAAAATTACAGAAGTACACAATAATCATATATGGCTATATTTTGCTTGTGTAATGTTAGTCATTTTCTGATTACTGTGATTTGATTTGATGTCCTTAGATTGTCCAATTGGCACTAATTTCTTCTAGAGTACATACATGTATACGGATCTCAGTTTTGTTTACATTTCTGTTTGAATTTGAACTTTTGGACTTTGATTCCAAGAGATAAGCAAAATCTTAGGCTATAGCTGCTTGCATGTGCGTTTCATGTGTCCATTTACATGTCCTTGGGAAAGTATGGGTCCACAGAATGGGCTCATCTTCACATAAGCAACATAGGGAGAAGAATTGAACCACTCATTCAGTTTCTTTAGAAGCATTCTTAATTTTATGACCTCAATGGTATAATAGAAACACGATGGATTGCATTGTAGCATATATGGAATCCCATCAAGTAACCAAGCTTACTAGTGCCTTGATCTCAATCAGCTACATAGTTTGGATATGCATCATTCTAACTTTTTAAAATACCCAAAAAATTGTGGCATTTCACCTAGCTGGTTTATAGTTTGAATGGCAGAAGATTGGGCAAAGATGGACCTTCAGTCATTATGAGATTAAAGACGGAGAAGCCATTATTGGAAATAGAAGACACCAAATGGCAAAGAATAGAAGATCTAATTTCCAAAACATTAACTGTGCAATATATATATATATATATTGGCACACTGCGTGGCATGCTTGACACATTTTGGTGTGTTCGAGGCGTGTTTGTATCCGTCACGTATTGAACACGGGTACAGTGACTGAGATGGAGTGCCAGTGCTTCACAGGTCACCACGGAAGAAGTGTGGTGGTCACCTGTTTCTATTTAAAAGGGTTTGCTTGCCTCCCCTCCGTGTCCTTTTGAATACCATTGTCAAACACTTGTTTGAATATTGAATTGTCAGCATGGAACTTTTGAAGCCCATGTGTTTGATTTCTCACAAGCATATTACAGAGACTTTCGATTACATTTGACTTCATGATTGTATGTATTCTGGAAAGCATGTGATGATTAATTCTCCAGTTTAATGACGATGGAGAAATGTAACAAATTCCCCTTCAATATTGTGTTTACATGTAACTTTACACATGCATCATGAATTGTAACCTGTCTTTGCAGTGGGACGATTCTATTGACAGCTTATCTGAAGGGTCACCTGGCCGTGGGAGTATTCACTTGCCTACCCCAAAGAGAAGGCTTGTTTCTCCTTTGAAGAAGTACGAAATTAAAAAAATTGGAATGAGGAGAAAACATAAGAAATGGAGTACCCTGGAAGAAGACACCTTGAGAACTGGTGTGCAGAAGTATGTGATTCTTTTGTATGTAGGGCAAGCTATTCTAGAACTTGTATTTTATCCAGTTTGTTTAATTATATTCATCAGAGTTTTCACCTCGGTAAAGGTTTGTATTATCTTTGTTCTTGTAGTCTTCAAATGAAAATAGCAAAAAGCAAAAATTGTAATATTATGGTATAGCATCAATTTTCGTAGGTCCATGACTGTTTTGGTCTGGAAACACTTCACCAGTTTTTCCACCCAAAGGGATATGAGTTAACTATTGGGGAAGAATGTTCTGTTTTTGTTTTCTTTGAGGGTGTTTTCATGTCCTCCGAGAAAATTAAGAAATGAATAATAATCTTTTTCAGTAATTAAATTTCCTTATACATTTGTGTATCTTTCTTCTGAAGGTACGGTATGGGGAACTGGAAGCTTATCTTAGATTCATATCGTGACATATTTGAACAGAGAACCGAGGTGAGAAGTGTTATGATCATTTGTAAGTGTTTTTGTTTGGTTTGGCATTCTTTTTCTTTGTGCTAAATATCAGAGGTTATATTGTTTAGGTTGATTTGAAGGACAAGTGGAGAAACATGATACGATATTGACTCTTATAAAAGGATTCTGCAGTTGTTTGTATTATAGTTGAGGTATGCCCTTTTATCTTGCTTTTCTCCTTGCATACCCGAGTTCATTTAAGTGAGGTTCTTAAAACATAAAGGGTTGGCAATAAATTCAAATTTATTTAAAGAGTCGTTTCAAAGATTTCTGTAGACTTTATATGATATTTGTACATCATGTTCTATACTTGTAGTCAATATCCTGACATGCTAATATTCAAAGAATGATTGGGAGGATAGTTCTTGAAGGTTGATTTTGTCTTCATTGCTTGAACACAGTAACTTTGCATCAGATACTCTAACCCAAGGCTTTTTTTTTTTTATTTTTTATATATTCTATTTCTCTTTTTTCCATTTCTATTTTGTTGGCATATGCTGAATGTGTTCTGCGGGGTGGGCAGATTGGAGTGTAGTTATGCTAGGTCTTATATCCACAGGCATGGCATCAAATTATCAGTCAACTTAAATCAAGAAGCCGAAGTAGCGTACTGGCATGAACTTTTTGGATGCTTAATTATGGGTAGCTTGGCTGAGGCTTTTATATAGCTAGGTCCAAGTCATTTCAACAATCAAATTAGCTCGAGCTTGTTGAGTCTAGATTAGCAGGGAAGTTATTTCCAGCAGCTGTTGATCCAGTCCATGGTTGCTTTTCTGAGCTCCTTAACCAGGCTAACTGTATAACCAAAGCAGAAGTTGAGCTTTTGTTTCTCATTGGCTCAATATGTAGCTTTTTGCAATTAGAATTATGAATTATTTTGGCAAATTTCTGTATATCCATTGATGTAGTTAAAATTTTACTATGTATATACTGATATAGTACAAATTTTTTTTTTATGGGTTATAGGACTGTGTTATGTTGTTGCTTGTTGCATTGACAATTGGACTTTTTTCTTTTTGTCTAAATTTATTTGGCAATTGCCTTCTATTTCACTTACCACCCCTCTCTACAAAGACATGCAATTTGCAGAACTTTCAAAGTGCTTGGACTAATTAGGCCTTGTTTGGTGGTGGTGGTGGTGTGACTTTCAAGTGTAATGTTTTTCAACAATAATGCTTGGAAGGAAATAACATTTTCAGAGAGAGCTATGCAGTATTTCCTGTCTTTCTTTTCTTGTGGACCTCAAAAAGAGGAAGGAATATTTTATTTTTTTATGAGCAAAAGATAGTAAGGCCATTTTTGTATCAATGCTTAGTGGAAGAATTTTATAGAGAGTTAAAATCCACCCACTACACCACTACCACCTCACCTACTCCACTAAACCTAACCCACTACACCACTATCACCTCCACTTCACCTACTCCACTAAACTTAACCCACTACACCACTACCACCTCACCTACTCCACTAAACCTAACCCACCACACCACTACCACCTCCACTTCACCTACTCCACCTACCACCTACTCTTCTATATATATAGGAATCATTGTAACATATCAATAAAATCAATCAATAATACAATTCTCTATTTCTCTTTATACATTAAATTTCTACATGGTATCAGAGCAAGGTTAAGCACTTAGTATTTTTCGTTTCACCGGCGGGCGGCAACCTCGCCTTGGCCGCCCGGCGGACCTCAACCTATTCCGCTTATTTTCTACACATACCTTCCCATCACTGCCTAAATCCTCTCTCTTGAGGCCAATGTGAATTCCTCTTCTTCATAATCTGCACTAACTGTGGCATCTTTTCCTGGGGCAAACTCTGCAACCCAACACTCAATCTATGCTTCTCCTCCATGCTCATTTGCCTCTTGTTAGGATCCTTCGCCTTCGGCTTTGGTTTGGGCTTCGCCACAGCCTTGAGCTTCACTGCAGCTTTCAGCTTCACGGCAGCCTTCGGTTTCACAGCAGCTTTTGGCTTTGGAAAGTATTATTATTAAGCTTAGTTGTCCTTAATTTAGGACTAAATCATAGAATCAAAACAGCGTAGTTTCGACTTCTAATTTATTGGCGACTAAAATCCTTCGGTCACCATAAGTATCGTTCACCTTTTCCGCAGCTATTTTATTTCTGTCAACATTGGGGGTCTACACTTCAAACCCCAGTTATTAATTATCACTTTAAATGGAAATGAACAAGAGTAGACGGGGCGAGAATTAAAGGGAACATCTATTCCATTGCAAGGGTGAATATCCTCTTTTTTCTTCCTCAATTAGAGGCCCTACCTGATGATCCAGTCCAAGGCTGCTTTTCTGAGCTCCTTAACCAGGCTAACTGTATAACCAAAGCAGAAGTTGAGCTTTTGTTTCTCATTGGCTCAATATGTAGCTTTTTGCAATTAGAATTATGAATTATTTTGGCAAATTTCTGTATATCCATTGATGTAGTTAAAATTTTACTATGTATATACTGATATAGTACAATTTTTTTTTTTTTTTTATGGGTTATAGGACTGTGTTATGTTGTTGCGTGTTGCATTGACAATTGGACTTTTTTCTTTTTGTCTAAATTTATTTGGCAATTGCCTTCTATTTCACTTACCACCCCTCTCTACAAAGACATGCAATTTGCAGGACTTTCAAAGTGCTTGGACTAATTAGGCCTTGTTTGGTGGTGGTGGTGGTGTGACTTTCAAGTGTAATGTTTTTCAACAATAATGCTTGGAAGGAAATAACATTTTCAGAGAGAGCTATGCAGTATTTCCTGTCTTTCTTTTCTTGTGGACCTCAAAAAGAGGAAGGAATATTTTATTTTTTTATGAGCAAAAGATAGTAAGGCCATTTTTGTATCAATGCTTAGTGGAAGAATTTTATAGAGAAAATGTCAAAATAAAGAGATTAGATTATGAGGACCAATATGGTATTTCATCAGTGTGCTAATCCATATAGACCATCAAGCACATTTAACTTGTCTTATGGATGGTGTACTTGAGGAGAAGGGACACTGAGCAGAGATTTAGATTACAAATCACTGCAATCGGTATGTTGCAGTGGACCTGCTTTTAGTTGATATTTTCTGCTATATATCACTTTCAATTCACATTCCAGCGATGTAGCACATACCACTTCACTATACAGAATGCCTTTTCTTCTGGTTCTTGTGTTCAAACATGGGAATGGGAAGGATTTAGACAAATAGAAAGGTTTCAGTGGCTGCAATGACGCAACTGACAAATGTATTTTAGACTCTTTTTAACTCTAAAATGAGACATTGACCATACAGAGAGAAACATAAAAATTAAACCTTCATAAACACTTTTCAAAATACAGAGTAAACTCATTCCCATCTAATGAACACAACCAAAGACCAACAAGAAAATAACGAAACAAAAATAACATGTGATTGATTTTTGGCAATGCAAAATATACAAATTAGCCATAATGAGATACACAAGGCTCAGCATTATGGAAACACAGCATCTCTGCATCCATTAACATTGACCTGTCATACCTCTATGTTATGACAACAATTTACATGTTGAAAACCGGAAAGGACTCCGTGAATATGTGTCATTTTTGGGGTTACGCCATCAACAAAACAATCAAGAATAAATTCCCAATAGGATACCAATGAAATAAAAGAATTAGATAACCGATTATGAGCCTTTCTAGTTGAATTTCTTGACAGTTCATAGACAACATACCATGCAGGTCCATATCATTGACAAATCAGGGAGTCAACAGTTGTGTTGGGGAGCTACTGTCACTGCCAGAAACTGGAGGACCTTCCATATTCACAAGATTTGATCCTCTGTTACTGGTCATATCGAACCCCTGTAAACGAGCGAGAGACTCATTCTGCCCAGGACGAAGCCGGCGACTTGATAGGCTAGACCGGGAATTATGGAATTGCGGGACCTGGGAGAGCACGGGAACTGAATTTTTCGGAAGTGGAAAAAGGTTCGGTGTCGTCGATGGAGATGGGGAGGCCGCTGGGCTGTAAGACATGTTTTGCAGTTGCATGGTTGACGGAGAGGGGGAGGCTGCTACTGAGGTGTAAGACATGCTTTGCAAGGTTGATGGGGAGGCTAATGGGCTGTATTGCATGGGTTGTTGCATTGTTGACGGGGAGGCTAATGGGCTGTATTGCATGGGTTGTTGCATCGTTGATGGGGAAGCCACTGGGCTGCATGGTATACGCCACCCGCCCAAGCTATACGATTCAGAGGGAGTTTTTATTTCTCCGGTGGCAATCTTGAGCCTCTCGACTTCTTGCTTCAATGCTTCATTTAGAGCTATACAGAACAAATGGCATACAAGCACGAGTCATATCAAGACTACCCAATAATGCATATTAGGATTAAGTAGAGGAAAAATACTTTGACACGAACAATTTGATCAAATTTCAAAGTGAAATGCCATTCATTAGGTTTACTTATGCAAGGTCAGCATTTGAATATCAATTTGAAGTGTGATTTTTCATACACATAAAATATTAGCAGTAATTAATTAATTAATTACGTATGCACATACTCAGACAACCATCATCGACAACCAAAACAAACCAGGATGAAACGTACCATCACGCAAATGAGCCTGTTGCTCCATAGCTTGCAACCGAATTTTGAGCTCAGCATTTTCTGTAATCAGGCCCGTTGTGTCTCTCTAAATAGGAAAACAAGAAAGAATTGGATCATAACGTTATTGTGTAGCTAATAAAAATGTGTTCCATATATTTATGTTTAAAACGGATATTCCTTGTTTACTTTAAAGCTCATGCAATCAAAGATTGATCACGCATAAATAACTAGAACCCAAAAATGCAAGTAGAAATCCATTGGGACGAACCTGATATATTGTGAGTTGGGCAGAGAGATTTGTTGCTTCTGATTGAAGAGACTGAACTTTTCGCTCAAGTTCTACTACGTAGCGAGCCTTCCTCTCTTTTGAGCGAGCAGCGGACTGTCTATTTGCCAAAATCCTGAATTTAACAACTAACTTTGTTAATGGAAACTCCAAAATGATTGAAATCAAAATGGAGCAAGAACATTTCATAAAATGAGTAGAATATGCTATGCAAGCATCAATTTTAATTTTTACATTACCGGCTTCCTTTAATATAAAAAAAAAAAAAAAAAAAAAAAAACCCCAAAAAAAAAAAAAAAAAAAGGATGATGAGGAGTATATCAACATTAAAACCAATCATCTTATTTTGAGTTCTGATTTTTGGTAATAATAATAAAAAAAATAAAAATAAAAATTGAAGGCTAATAATAAAAAAAACCCATAAAAACTATGAGTTCTGATTTTTTATGATAGAAAAAAAAATTTAAAAAACGCATAAAAACTAAAAACCAATTAAACAACGCGGTATAAAGGATGGTGATGATCCAAATCGGATTTAAAAAATAAAAATAAAAAATGTAATTCTTTTGTCTTGGAGCGAAACAACTTATGAAAAATGGAAACTAAAATAACAATAATAAAAATAAAAAATTCAGACCTCTTGACACGCTTGGGATCAACAGCCCAAATCTCAGCCAACTTCTCAGGAGGTATAGCCTTCTTCACCTCATTAGCATCACCCAACCCCTCCAACGAACTCCCATACCTATGCCGAAACTTTAACGTCTTCTCCGATTCAACAACCCCACCACCACTGCCGCTGCCACTGTCCTCCTGATCCATAAAATCCCTAACGCCGCCATCATCCTCACTCCTCGCAAACTTCTGGAGATCAAAAAATGCAGAGAATAGATCATCGTCATCCATACTCCCTACAATCGACCCGTTGACAGGGTCGCCGGAGAGACCTACCTCGTCGTCTCCGGTGGTCTGAAAATTCCCATCTGAGAGAGCCCTCCGGTGAACCCCCTTGAACAAGGAGGGCTCTTCGGAGTCAGAATTTCCGAACAAAACTGGGATTGACGGGGATGAGGGTGTGGTGGGAGATGGGTTGTTGTTGGAAGCATGCTGAGGAGAAATGGAAGTGGGGTTAGGGCTTGGTGGGCCTTGCATTTCCATGGAGGATCGCAATCACATGGTAGATTGTCGGCGACCCAAATGAATGGGCTCAGAGAGAGAGAGAGAGGTTTTTGGTGCCCCCGCGCAGCTCCCCCTCTTGCTCTGCGCGGGGGGGATGGGAGGGAAAGAAGACGAGCAGGGAGAAGGGGAAGGACTGGGGCGGGGCGGTTTTACATCACAATCGTGGAGTTTTGGTAGAGAGACGAATGGGATGCATCAACGTTGAGATTTTGTTTGGATAGAGGGAAAACGGAGTCAAAAGAAATGATAAAGGGACAATTTTGGGGGGACCTTGTTTTTCTAAAAAAGGAAATTTGAATACACTAAAAATACTCTAATTCCATATTTAACTTTTGACTCTCTGATTTTTAATTTTTTTTTTTTTGAGGAAAAAGAGGATTAGTCATTTTCAAAAATAATTTTTAATAATTTTATGCATTTTTTCATGTTCTAAATTGGACAACTGTGAGTACAATTTCTATTTAAACAATGGCATCCTTTGGGTTGTGGTGTGTTTTGAAATCGGCTTCTCTCCATTCAGTTATTAAATTGGATGGCATTGTGTGGTCATTGTGGGCCTTGATTTGGACCTTTTTTTTGATAATTTAAATCATTCAATTTGTAAAGTTTGTTGGGTATATTATTCTTATAAAAAATCATATTAATCGGATATCGATAGATATTTTATTAGAGTTATTTCCATCAATGGTATATATAATTTTTAAATTGGTCTCGTTTGTCAATTATATATTTTAGCTAAAAAATAAAAAGTCACTATAAGTTGTCATATCACTCTCTCTATTTTTTTGTATATCTTTTCATAAAAAATCAAAAAGTTATTAAAATAATATGTTCCCAAACAAGACTATTGTGACATAAATATGATGTGATCAAGTGGCTATTGATATCTGATCACAGTATTTTTTGTAAGGATGGTGTAATCAACGTGCTCTACAAATTGAACGATTTGAATCATTAAAATTGACCCGAATTAGGACCCAAAATGATCTAACAGTATCCTTTAGTCCAATAAAGGATTGGAGAGAAGCCAACTTCTTCTTCTTCTTTTTTTTTAATTAAAAATTCAAAATATCCAATCACATTATTTTTATAGTCAATTCTCAAATGATCCAACATATTGATTTCTTTATACTCTTTTTTTTTTCTTTTGAAATAGCTTATGTCAAGTCAACATGTGGATTGAGGAGTGTTATTTGGGCTAGTATAATTTAATAGGAGTCTTTATTTAATCCTTTAAAGTCCCTTCGAGTGAATTGTGATCATTTTAATTTTATATTTGTAATAAAAATGTTTTATTCCATCGTCCAACAGGGAATGTAGTGATATTTTTTAATTTAAATTAATTATAAATTTGTATTTATATTTCATAGTCATTAGATATATGATGAAAATCTTCTATTACATATATGAAATGAAGAGTATCAAAATGCCGTTCGAGTCTACATTTCGATTGGACATCAACCTAATTCATTTTCTTTTTATACTCAACTAAAAAATTTAAAATAAATATTTTATCATTTTCCACCGTTTAACATTTCGAATTTATCCTCATTCCTAACCTGAATCTTCTCTTTCCACACCCACTTCTTCTTCTCTCATTTTCTTCATTCTTTTGTGGGCAATTGTGGCAATTTTTTCCTTTCTCCTCCCTTTTGTTTCTCTCCTCCCATATCTTAGTGTTACAAAGGGTGGGGCTAAGGTTTTGCAAAGCTGAAAGATGTCGAGTAGGGCAGGCAAAAAAAAGAAAAGGGCACATTGGACAAAGAAGAGCAAGCAGGAAATATTAAGAAGAATGAAGGGCTAGGGCATGGGTGGAAATGGGGTAATAATTAGTGGCCGAGCATGGGTAACAGTACTAGTGGTAAGTTGGGGGAGGTGGTGGGGAAGACGATAAGTAAATTGAGAAATTATGATTTTAAAATTTTGAAATTTAAGTGATTCTAAATAGGGATAAAATTACAATAAATAAATAAAAATAAAAAATAAAGTCAGTAAAGAGATGAGTTTATGGTGTAAATAAAACCAGAGTGTACAAATTATGTCTTCCAACTGAAATTCATTTATAATAAATTATGTGCGACGAATAAAAAAAAAATTATTTATTTTTTGATAGGTGAATTAATCCCACCCTTGACATTGCATGTTAGGATAAACTATAACACTCTACTTGTTTGGAATGCTTCTCCTAGGACAATCATTTCTTTCTTTGTTAATTTCCCTTTTTTTATTTTTTATTTTTAAAGCAGAATAATCAATTCAACAAGAAATGCCCTCTTTTTTTTTTTTTTTTTAAATAATTTTTAAAAACAACATTAAATAAAAACATGGAAATTATATGGCAATGCTTGACAAGATCTGTATTTATAATTTGTATCTTTCAAATAAGGACATGGCATATTACCCGCCAAAGCTGCTAGCCACTTTTTGTCTAATTAATCTGAAGCAGCCATAAACAAATCAACATTCTTTATGTTTCTAACAAGAAATTTTAATAAAGAATTGACATTTACACTTCAAATTAGTTGCAGAGAATAGAACAATTTGCATCTACATTTGATCAGAGTTGCCTTCCAACAAGCTCCTCAACTTCTTCTTAGCCTCTTCAGACAGGTTACAGCACCTCAACCTTGGCCGCTGATAGTGATCTCTGCAATCAATCCCAGAAGTGAAGCACACAACAATGGCGGTGAGGTTGTCACTCGCATTCAAGCGCACCGCTTCATTAACAAGCTCTCTGGCACACTGCTGTGGATCATTACAACTCCTCAGTCCACCGCGAACTAATCTGACTGCGTCCTGGTTCGACATCACGTCCCAGACTCCATCGCACGCCACAATCAAGAACTCATCGTCCTCCGTTAACACAGTGTGTTGAAATTCTGGCTCGGCAATCAGAGGCGACGAAGAACCAATCGGGAATTTCATGTACCAGTCACCGAGGGCTCGGGTGACCCCGAGATCACCGTTGAGGTACCCATCATTATCAAAGTATCCCCCTAAATCTTCGACCCTCTTGCGCTCTGACAAACACGTGGGCCTGTGATCTTCAGACATCTGGATTGAGACTCCTTTCCTGCAGAGCACGGCTCGAGAGTTCTGTATATTACAAGTCCTATATATAGAGAGGTTTTGGGAGTAGTAGGTGTAGAGTGGGTGGTGGTAGTAGGTATAGTGGAGGTGGTAGGTGGAGTGGGTGAGGAGTAGTGGAGGTGTGTAGTGGTAGGTTTTAGTGGTGTAGGAGGTGTACATTAACAAGACATCTGGATTGAGACTCCTTTCCGGCAGAGCACGGCTCGAGAGTCACCGGCATTGGCGATGAAGAGGTGTTTACCGATGACAATGGCGGTCAGTGCAGTTGTTCCACAAAAAGCAGGAACATTATCAGCTAGGGCTTGATCAGCCCTTAGAAAAGCTTTGCGGTTATAGTCTTCCAACTCTTGGGGTTTTTGGGGAAAATTGGCTTCTTGGAAGAAGAGTTTTGTATAATTCTGTTTGAGATAAGACGATGCAGCGTTGGAACCGCCGTGTCCATCGAAGACGGCGTAGAAAGAAGTCGGCGATGGAGAGAGGAAGAGAGAGGGTAATTGGGTGGAGAGATGGTCGATTAGGATGTGTTCGTCTTCGTTGAATTGACGGTGTCCTTTGTCTGTGTGGCTACCAGAACGAATGGTTGGAACAAACTCAGTACTCGCAACAACCGACTCAGACTCGGAGAAGAAGGGCTTTTCAATGGGTAGGATGGGGGTTTTGGGAACGGAGAGGTGATGAACACCGAGAATGGACATCTCTGCTTCAGACACCATGCTCTCACTACTCACAATCATCACACACTAAACTGAACGATTGCTTCAATTGATTCAATCTTCTTCTTCTTCTAAAGCTCAATGATTTTAGATGTAGACGGAGAAAAGAGAGAGTACGGGTATTCAGAGAATTAGGGTTTTGTATGGCAAAAATAAGCAGCAAATTATTACAGATATAAAGAGCAGAGTTGTAGTTATATAGATATGGGTTTTCCAGAATTTGGAGTTGATTTGGATTTGGGTTTGTATTTGTATTTGTATTTGTATTTGTATTTTTTAATGCTATATTCGTGTTGTTTTTATGTACTAAAACTAAGTTTTAAGTTTTTATTGGAATTATAATTTAAGAACTTTTAATTTTTGAATTACTAATTAATATTAATATTATTGGTGATAACATTGATGAGGAGTTAATTATTGATAAAATTAATTTTAAATTCTAAATCTTATGATGTCCTAAAATGTTGGCTGCGTCACATATGCTCTAACTCGTACCTTCACCACACATCTTTTCATTATTTTAATGTTCCAACAATTCTTTGGACTCAACATTCCAAAAAAAAAAAAGAAAAAAAGCCATAAAAAAAAAATCTTAAAAAAAAGCCTTCTATTTACACAATAAAAAACTCCTTCCAATCTTTTTATTTTTTCTTGTTATAATTTTATCTCTATTCAAAATTTAAAAAGGGATAAATTATAAGGGGTATTTGGTTAAAATCCTTCGTAATAAAATTTTAATGCATTAAAGATAAGTATAAAATAATTTTCTTATAAAGTCGAGCACATACCACTACTATTAAAATATTAAGCTTTAAAATAATATAACTTTTGATTTAAATGTCGATTTTTAATAAAATTTGTATTTTAAAATCATCTCATCAAAATTTATCAAATAAGATTCATGTTGATTATGAAATTCTTCAAATAAAAAAAAATTATTACCTTCGAAATAGATGTAAACAGTAAATGTTACTTTGGCAATATTGTCAAAGAAAAAAAAGATATTTTAATTTGTCTTTGCTCAATTATATGTCATTCTTAAGGGGTTTATGGAGTAAAATAAATTAGGTTGTCTATTTCACCAAATTAGATCCAATAGAGGGGTTTGGCTAAATTTTCCAAATTACAAATACATACATGATGTTTACTTATGGTGTGTTTGGTTGGAGGATTTGGGGAGGGATTTGAAAAGGGAAAGGGAAAAGGTGTGTGAAACTATGTGAAATTTAGGCATATTTTATTTATATTTCACCTACCTTTTCCATTTCCTTTTCCAAATCTTTCCTCAAATCCCTCAACCAAACACAACATTAAAACATAGATTGTCTCTAGTATTTTGAAAATTATATATTGCCCTTTTAAGTTTCTAATCACATAATGAATGACTTACTTTATTAATAATATTTTTTAATGACATCAAAATATATTTCAATTAACAATCCAAATAATTTAATATCTGTATAGAATATTAGTTAATATTTGTATAGAATATTAGTGGTTAACAGTTTAAGGACATTAGAGCTCTGTCTGGTTGTTTTGATTATCTAAAGATTGTTAAGGTTTCTATGTTGCTGCTGCACACCTGAAAGCCAAAGGTGCTGCGGGGTAATTGTTAATTGTATTTACTCTGTTATATATGTTTATATATGAACGTATTTATCAGTCTTTTCTATAATTTTTTTTTTTTATTAATTCTATTAAATAAATTTTATTGATTAGGAGGCATTTGTAATTTTTAAAATTATAAGGGAAAATTCATATTTTAAACAAATTTCAGAAGTTATATTTGTATTTTACACTTAAAAAAAATACCAAACTCTAAAAAAGTAAAAATCCTTTATTTTTTTTTATTTTTTTATTTTATATTTGAAGAACACAAGATACTTTTTATTAAATTTTATATATTTTTATTGAAATTAATACACTTTTTAACATTTTTATATATTTTTGAAATACTTTTACACACTTTTTAACATTTTTCTTTTAATAATTTTTTATTTATTTTTTATTTTTTATAGGGCACGACTTGAATATCAGTTACGTTTACCATAATACACTCTTTATTAAAAAGGCTGGGCTTGTCTCCTATTTATCATGTGGATCGAATTGGTCCAGTTGGGATCCATAGGCCCATTATGAACCTTATTTTGATAGATATTTGTTATTTTGAGTGGAACTTGGGATTTTTTATTTATTTATAATTTTCTCTAAAATATTCAAAGAATTTCCGCACAACAATAAAAACACAAGAAAGGATCGTATCTCGATAGACCTTACAATGTGAATCTATAGAATAACCAAAAAGTTCTTTTACTCCGACATTGGATGCTGATTATAACAAGAACTTCACCACATACAGATGATAAGAATACCACACACAATATATATATATATATATATATAAATTAAAAAGAGAGAGAGAGAGAGAGAGAGAGAGAGAGAGAGAGAGGGGAAGGGCACAACACTATTATTTACAAAGTAAAAAATGTATATGTAGCGTTTGGGATGATCTAAATAAATATATTTTTTGATTTTTTATGAAATATGAGTTTGGTATGGGTTGGGTTTGAAGTGATGCGATAGAGAGGTGATATGACTTAAATAAAATGATGTGACTTAAATAGGATAGTGACTTTTTGAATTTTGAATTTTGAATTTTATAGGTTATACATTGCTTCTTCAGTGAATAACTATTGAGAAATGTTCCGGCATGCAATGGACACCATATGTAATCAGTAACGGAGTCAAGAAATTAAGGTAGAAGGAACATTTTATAATTTTAATTTTTTTTGGTGATCAACAATAAAATAATAACAATTTTATGAGCTAAATTTAAGTATAAAAATTTAATTATTTATTATTAATAGCAACTAATCAAAATTCCATAATTATGTGGAATAACTCGGAAGTATGCAATTTTAGCACAAAAAATTACAAATTAAAATTCTTAATTTTAGAAAATAAAAGCAAATTATTTAGAGCACAAATCATTATAAAATTTCTATAATTTTTATTTGATAGAAAAATATTAGAGAGATAGTATTGATTATAAAAATGTGTTTTGAATAGAAATTATTAGATAATCCCAGAATATTATGTAGTGTTGATAACGTGGTAGTTTAGATATAAGAAATCTCAACTCACACTCAATGATTCACCTATTATCTTCCAATTAATTACTTAACAATAATTAGTTACTATGTTCTATTCATAAAATTTGTCACTATATTATTGATTTAGACCCCTACATAAATAACACCACATGACGCTCCAAGAGTACTAAAATAAACTATATATTGTGTGTGAACAATGCAAAAAAAAAAAAAAAAAAAAAAAAAATCAAAACTGAGAGGGGCACGTGACCCTCCTAGCCCTGTTATGGCTCTGCCACTATATGCAACCCTATATAAAATTAAGTTCATGAAAACTTATGTGATCATGTGAATTTATATTGAATTTACATATATATATATATATATTTGAAATTTACACCATTTGATGAGATTTAAGACTTGGTTTGGTTGTGGTTTAGAAAACAAACAATTTATTGTTTCCTAATTATTTTTACTACTATTGTTTTGGCAAAATAAACAATTTTATTGATATGTATATAATATATTTCTCTCCCTTTCATTTCCTTTCAAGTTTGGTACTATCTCCCTAAGCATATTGCCAACTAAAGTCTGTAGAATCCATTTCTACATATACACATTGAACTGGTCAACCATGATTCTCTTTATGTTTTCACGTTAGTTATTTCTTATCGACTTAAAATTTTGAGACTATTAAATATAATTATTAGAAATATAGATTGAAAAACTGAATAGAATTATAAGAGAGTAGAATCATTTATGAAATGATTTCGGATCAACTAAATTATTCTAAATCCATCAATTTAAAACTCTCAAATTAATTCTTAAAATTATTTCTAAAATAATTTATCAAATTAAAGGCTATATGAGTATTTTTTTGAGCCACGCATTCATTTTTTGGTTGTTGAACATTCTTGTGCTTATTTATTTATTTATTTGTATATGCAGCATGACTTTATTAATAATATTACATTTCTTAATTTATCACACCTAAATGATCCATACTGATATATCATTGAGCTTAGACCCCACATAATAGAATGTTTGACAAATCAAAATTGGACACTTATCAAACGCATCATATAAAAGTGATTTTTAGGAGTGATAATTTAAGTGTCTCAATCATTTTTCTTACTCTATTAAACTATTACAACTTGTCTTGCATCCTTGAACAAGACAGCCAAACACACTTTCGACAAGGTCAAACATACATTTGTTACCGTGTTTGATCACTTTGCTATATATAATCTCTTGAATTGGCCAAAAAATGGAAGACTATCTCAGTCACAGTGACAATCACAAAACAAGAGATGTGTCTTGATTGCCTTTGGTTGCAATTACATTGATTTCAATTTTCTTTCTTTCAAAGTTTCTCAAGAAAGGCCATAGACTAAAAAATCTACCAGGAGGGTCTCGGAGCTGGCCTGTGTTTGGAGAGATATTGAGCTTTTTACAAGCTCTGAAGAAAGAAAGAACCCTAGAATGGATCAAAGAGAGAGAAATAAAACATGGGAAAATATTCAAAACACACTTAATGGGAGCTCCAACTACGAACAACACCCGATCTGAGACCACTGACCTCTTTGCCGAACAAACTCCTACATTCGAACACACCCATGGCCAAAAAACTTCCAATACCGAACAACCCAGCACACATCGCAGAGAAGCGCCCAAAACTAGATCACCATACACCCACCGATAGAAGACCCGAAAGAAGATCCATGGCCAAACACCATAGATCAAAACACACCTAGGCATAATCTATAGATGTCGGAAAAACTAATATCGTGGGAAAACTTTGGGGATTCAAGTTAAAAATGAGAGAAAACAACAATCACACACGAAGGAAGCGAGGCCAGCCGACCGCCATGGCCATAGGCAGCAGCCAGCCGGCCAACGGTGAGACCCGGGATGGAGGTTTTTAGAGAGAGAAAGATAGAGGAAGCATGGATAGTTTTGTAATCTTGGTTAGAGAATGAAATTGAAACACTCTGTACCCTTTAAATACTAAATTGAAACACTCTTTACACTTTAAATCCGGGTGATTTGGGACGATCTAAATAAGTATATTTTTTGATTTTTTATGAAATATGGGTTTGGTATGGGTTGGGTTTGAAGTGATGCG